AGACATCCCCGCACAATTAATCCAAAACGAGTAGTTGCAGCTTTAATTATACTAAGCTCAAAATCACACATGATAATTTCAGGAGGAATAACTGCGATACCAAGATTTTCGGCTGTTGACGATGTAACTTCAAAAACTTTGGCGTATGATAACTGCGTCTTACTTTTCATCAAAGCATAAACGTAAGGTAGGGCTATGTTTAACTCCATGCCGTTGACATATTGCTGTGTCAATCCCATAATTACGAACAACTGATAAAAAATCGATGGAGCAGTTTTAAAAGTTCCATCCACGTACCAAATGCGACTTCTGGCCAAGTCACTTAAATTTTCTTTCGTCGAAAATACAATTATTCTATTGGTTGCTGCTGCGTTTTCATCCTCGAAAGAATCATAAATTAAAAACGGTTCACCCACCTTCGTTTTTCTAAACTGATCCGGAATGTCTAATAATTCCTCAAGAGTTCGAGGATTAGCGGGCAAATTTTTCTTCCGCTCCCGTTGAATTATTTGTTTGACATTTTCGCGGTCAGGTAGCTCAGCTAGTACAGGTAATGGAACGTCTTGCAGGAGTCGCATAATTTGCGCAGGAGGTGCCTCGGGGTGCTCAGCAGCGCGTCTTTTAATACCTGAAATTACATTGATAGCTCCAACTGCTTCTCTATTTGGTGCATGAGTATGATCCGCTAGTTTTCCTTTTTTAAGTCGAAGAGTATCGCCGTCACTAACAGTGATAGCTCGCGCAGAGCAGGCATCTTTCAGCTTGCACCTCCAATACCTAACTGAATTTTTCCCATTCGAATGTCTATAATATAAATAGCCATCTATGTAGTATAATGCTCTGCCACTTTTAATAATTTCCACTTCCTCACTCATAATTTTTATGATAAAAATACTACATAATAAAAATACTATAAAATAGGAGAGACGCAACTGCTGTAAGGCAAATATAATAATAAAACAACAAACAGTTACTATGGAGATAGATATAAACTTATGAATGGACAAAAGTAGATGTATGCATCGTATATTGCGTCATCGTATTAGTATTTAAAAAAAAAAATAGTTTGGAAATAATGATATTGGAACAATTAATTATGTGGAAAAATTTATTTTGGAAAAATTAATTGTTCGGGGAAAAAAGTCTTGGAACAATTATTTTGGAACTTTTGATGCCAAACCTCAGTCCATACCTCCTCCTCTCCTCGATCAACGATTTTGGCGCAATGATAATCCATAAAGTACGTGACATACGGGTACACTTTAAGTTAGGATTATCGTTCGCTCGACTTCCTTGCGATAAAAAATTGAAAACAACAAAAAAAATTAAAAACTTTTACTCGTTCATTCGGGCCGATGTTGATTTCCAAGCCTCTCATTGACGCGCGATCGACCGATAGATTAGACTCCACGCCGCGCGGGTATAGAATATAGAAAGAGATAAGGCACGTATATGCAATGTCGCGAGCGTGCGATGCCATATTACAGAAGAAGCAAGTAATTGACGTCCGATTGTTTACTTCGCACGACGAGTAAACAATCTATACGTATAAAAATGATAATTGCAGTGAAACTTCTTCAGGCGCATCTGTTAATCCTTCGAATGCCAATTATGTAAAATAATATACCTTGTACCAATTTTTTACTTCTACATATTTTTTTGGCGATCGCTCATTTTGTGACAGCTAATGAAATCGAATCATCGTCATCGAAAGATTTATATAGAAAGAAATGATGATATTCTAAAAAAATTATTTCGCTTAACTTCAGTAATACAATCTGTAATTATCGATACACTCGATCGAAATAACATCAAATTTTTGCGATAATTAAATATTCCGGGGCAATGATATTCAAAACCATCGAGTATATTTCGAGTACTTTATGCACAAAATTAATTTTCTTTATTTTCCACGACAATCATTTTATTCCTCTCTGCAGGCGCATTGAAATTCGCCTCCTCTATAAGGCGCTTGCCTGTACTGGCATTCAAATCGCTCGGCTCGAATCTCGGCGTTACAATACTACATGTCTTTATAAAAAAAAAGGGAAAATAAAATAAAGAAATCGGTACTGATCGGTACATCGGTACAGATGCACGCTCGCATCACGGCGTCGCAATTCGCATAACGTAGACTTAAAAGACGGCTCAATGCAACGAACGAAATCATCGAATAATTTTTGATCTCGTGCCATGCAATGCGGCAGTGGTCGATTTTCCTGTGTCACAATCTAATGGCACACACACACACACACACACACACACACACACAGAATCGCGAAAGGTCAATGACACGCGTCGCGCATGCGGCTGTATTATACACACTATGTGCTGTGTGCGTGCATTATAAAACGATGCGCTGCCAGCTCCACACCTTGAGATACCGAGCGTCTCGCGCGGCTGTTGTCGTTTCATCTTTTGGTGCATATCGAGCCGCACCTCGCCTCGAAGCTGCGAGAGAGTTCGATACTTCACATTTAAAGTATAATACACGAAAGATCTGCAGGTGTGCTTTTGTTTAGCAATAATATAACAGTATTAAAAGATTATTAGATGCGCGAAATTTCCTCTCTCTCTCTCTCGACTGATTTATCTGTAGCTTCCGCCCAAAACAGGTCCGGCTCTATAATATAATATTACGCCACATTGTGAGTTCAATTACAAAACACATCGGCGCGAATGCCTAAACGATGCGTCGTAGCCGCTCGTATTTATGTATTAATCTCCGACTGTGAGAATAGAAACGAGCAGAGAGGTCTTTTGCAGGTGTACAGCGATTGAAAAAGAAAAAAAAAATCTAGTCGAACAGGTATTATTATGTCCATCCTCTCCCTCTCGATTTCTCGCTCGGTGCCTCAGCGCGTGTGTGTGTGTATGTAAAATGACCCTCGAAAGAGCCTCGTTCGAAAGAAATAATTTGCCACATTCGAGCAAAAGTATACAAGACCCTCTCCCTTTTTTGCCTTCGGGTGACGATAAAAAAAAGAGGAGAGAGAGAAACGAAAATTCGAAAGGCTCGATGGCAAAATGTATGGTATAAAGACGACGACGAAGAAGAAGAAGAAGAAGACGAAGGTGCGGAGCAAAGCAAGGCATACATTATGCGCGTGTGTGTATATAATATAGAGAAAAAAAGTGGATGCAAGAAAGAAGAAAGAGGAGGTAAACAGCACCTGTTCACAATGCAAATCTGCGAAAGAAGAGGAGGAAGAGGGGATGCCCATTGTGAGTTCCGAGTATGCATGCGTGTGTTTGTGCATATACTCGGCGACCTGACCCCAACTAAATGTGCAGTGTATAAATATATATTCGCGCGCGCACACACACTTTTTTATATTTATTCTCTCGGTGGCGTATCATTTTTTTTTCTTTCGTTGCCATCCTCGCGCAAAAAGGCAAGTCGCACACACTTATACACAGACGCGTTAATAATATGGGCGAGCGGGAGTGGTCGAGTCGTATGGATGTATCCGATTTCTTGTATACACACACATACACACAAGCCACGCGTGTAGCAGCACTATTATTATCATGATTATTTAAAAATTCAAAAGGGGAACTGCTCATTTTCGAGAGAGAGAGAGAGAGAGAGAGAGAGAGAGAGAGAGATGAAGAAATGAGTGATCCTCCTGTAACAAACGCTCTTAGCCTTTAATGTAGACAAAATAGGAGAGAAAGCCTGTATTATATTATGTTTATGAGAAAGAGACCAAACGACAAATGAGAGGATTTTTTTCGTCATGCGCGCATCATTTAGCACACAAACTCCGGGCGTGTGTCAGAATTAATATTGAAAAAAAATCAAAATATCGCTCGATCGTCGGCGAGTATAAATATTACGTCTTTTACGCGAGTGTAATATAATTAATATATTTGTCGATCGAGTAAATCGATAACTGGGATCTTCGCTGAAACATCGTATAGTAATCGATGCGATGCATTTCGTCATTTAATACTGGACTTTCTTATGTATTATCCAGTCGTGCGTTAAAATTCGTTAAATTTAATAAGCAGTTAATTCGATCTTGCTACGAGAGTGAGTACGTGGAAAGCTTCTCTTATTATTTCAACGACAAAAACAAAATCAACACATCGAACTCTTGCATTTAAAGAAATCCATTATATATCCTCGTACACTGTACGAGTATACCATTTTAATAACGAAAAACGAGTCGCGTTCCTTTAAAACGTGCTGTACTGTGGTACAGCCAGCAATGGTATAATACAAAGAGTGAAAAGTGCACGAGGTCACAGACGCACAACAAAGTAATATTATAAATGCATATAATGTATATAAAGGTACCGTACGTGCGTGTGTTGTTTTTGTTATAGTGCATTCGCTGCGTACCTCTATACATCCGGACGCGTATCGATGCAACTACTACTCTCGCGATCCGCAATTAAACGCCGAAACGGATAACGATGCGCTTGACGCACTTGCGGTGAAAATGAAAAAGGTTCGACTCCTCTCGCGAACTCGATGCGCAAGGGACAAAATGGTAATCGATAGCTGTCAAAAATATTACACGGAGGAGCGTCGAGAGCGGCAATTAAAGAGTCTTGACTGATAATAAATATAACCACGACTGTATGTGTGCGTGTGTGTGCATATGATAACGAAATATAACATATAGGAACGCGTCTCTCTCTCTCCCTGTCATAAGCTCTCTGGCCATGGCAATGGCATTATTGTAACATCGTCGCGAGCTCGCTGCCGAGTATCGATCCGGCAGCTGAGACGTATATATAGGCGCACACAGGAGGAATTACCCCGTGCGAGCGAGCGCAGCGCGGCTCCCGTGTCATGTACCGTATATATTATCAACCCTTGTGGTGTGCGTAGGAGTCCCGGCATCGTTTCTACTACCACTGCTGTGCATACACGTACGAATGCGCGCACACACACACACGCATGCACACAGACGGAGATAGATAGTATCACACACGTACACGTATACGCCACCAAATATACGAGATAGAGAAAAACAATCTCTTCTTACCCAATATTTCCAAGGACGATTGTGTACGGCGTATGGCGAGCGGTACGTCACGAGGAGGATTTTTCGCCCGAAGAAGCTCGACGACTACGATCGGACGCCATGCAGCATTCGTATCGATATCTTATGGTATATTTCACGGCACAAGGATACTTGCGTATATCTTTGTGTATTTATAAAACTGCACGAATACACGCACGGACACAGAAATCACTGCACGTACGACTTTCAGCCACCGTTTTTTTTCCTTTTTTTTTTTTTTTAATTTCACGATTCCCTCGATGTATAATAATAATTCACATTGCACAAGAGCAGACGCATTTTTCGCGTTGTTCGCTCTGTATGTATACGGTACAACAACACTGCTACGAACGAATCATTTTTTGCAACGCTTCGATTTTGATGAGATATATAAGACGGAGAGAGAATCGATTCGATCTCGCCGCGGCACAAAAATACACGCGAAAACACACAAGCACAATAATAACGCGATAACGAACTCTCTCTATAGAGGACTGTGGTCAGTGCACACAGCGGTGCACCAGAGGCATAAAATGGCGGGTGCACGGAGCAGCTCTCCTCTCCGCGATGTATAATATAATAGGACCACGCAGCGTACTGTACACCACTGCTACTGCAGGACTGAACTGACAACACTCACTAGTAGAGAGAGAGAGAGTCGGCGGTGGCGGCTGACAGGAGGTATAGTATAGGTATATAGCGTGTATATATACATAGGTATATAGCTCTTCTCGTTATAACGTGGGGAGCTCGCGCGCAGCCTGCACACGCATCTTTTTTTTCTTCTTTTGCCAAGCTTGGCAAGCAGATACTATATAAGTAACAGCGGCACATATATATACTTGGGCTCTTTCTGAAAGGCTGGCTCGAAGCCGACTGAGTGGTATTGGTAAGGTAGCAAACAAGAGTGCGCGAGAGGAGGAGGATTTCCTATATAAGTTCGGAGTCGCGCGGCCGAGAGAGACTTGGCCGTCGATTTGTTTGTGTATTATAAAGCGCCTCGTGTGCTGCTGCCGTTGCAGACAAACACTCTGGCAAGAGCGAAATGAGAGAAAGAAAGAGAGGGAGAGATTACGGAGCTATATATACGACGAGCTACACATTATACGTGCGTTCGTGTATGCGTGTGTATCAACGCGGTGCAAAGATTTAAAAACAATTTGTATACATATACCTTGGTCATAACGCAGCACTCATAATATATGAGCCGCACAACTGTAAACGATCGTCGTATTATTCGAGCCTATTTATATTAATAATAAGGCGACGTATCCTAACTGTACACGATTCGTTGCATCCTTTAACGATTTTACATACGTTTGAATGACGATTTTCGAAGATCGCTTGTACCAATATACCGGTATCCACTCGTAACGATCGCTGAAATAATTTTTTTATCCGTACTAATTGTATAAGTTGGTCCAAATTTTGGGACGAAATTTTAAACACTCGTTCGTGCATACACTCGTGTATATACCTTTAATTACGAAGCCGGTGGTGGCATGCGCATGGACGCACGTATACACGAGACTATGTATGCAAATGCGCAAACGTCCGCCCCGCTTGTAACATTAACATTATTCTTTGTTCGGCGTGTGTCTCTTAAAATTTTCATAAAATAATAATGCATGTATGTATAAAAAGAGTCCGTCTTTCTCTCTTGTTCTCTCCTCGAACTTCTCCTTCTTCTTCTTCTTCTCCCCTTTCGTGGAGCTCTCTGCGCTTTTCTCGTCTTCGAGTTATAGTTTTTTTTTCTTCCTTACTCTTTATTTTTATTTCATTGCCTCGGTGTGAATGTATACCTTCGAGAACAGGTTTCGCTTCCTGCTATACTATACCCATGCACGCAATACAACGAACTCGGCATACGCGAGCGTGTTGAATGCGCGCACGATTCGAGAGGCTGAAAACAAAAACAATTATGACGAAAAATAATAAGATGGATCGTGTGTCGCTCGCAGATCGACCGAACTTATAAACGTTGACATTTGCGATTAATTGAATGATTGAAAATTTAAGGGAAGTTTTTATACAAAAATAAAAATTTTAGAGCTTGTAAAGAAGATTAGAAAAAGGGAAGAAAAATGGACGAATATTTTTTGGCCACAATATTCGTATATCGAATCGAATACCAAGAATTCGAATTCGCGCGAAAACATTAAAACGCATCGTTTGGATTTTCGTATTAGTTATTTCTAGTAAATACATAAATTAGCATTTCTATAATGAATACATGAGTTGATTGCATCATGGCGATCACCTCTCTCTCTCTCTCTCTCTCTCACCTATCCGGCAAGAATAAGAAAAATAACAAAAGAAGAAGAAGAAATATGACACTAGCGGCAGCACTTGTCAGGTCTATAAACTCAGAGTTAGCACCACAGCAGCAGCCCGCAGCAATCATCGTCGTAAAATATATCGTCTGCAAACAAACATATCGAGCGCTACTCAAAACAATTCGCTTATATACGTCGCTTTGATTGTGTGATTGCCCTTATACATGGGGGGGACTCGAGAGACTTGACAGTTATCAAGGGAACTGCCCTTGTGGCGGAAAGTTTCACCCCTGGCGTGTCACTCGGCATCAGTAGCATCGGTTCGGAGTTCAGTCGATGCGTCGTTGCGTCGACTCAAAAGTGTCTATAATCGATTAAGCCAAAAGCGAACGATATTTTTGCGAGTGAATTGTGTTTTTGTGTGCGTGTGTGTGTGTGTGTGTGCACAATCATGACAATGACGAACGAGCCTCTCGACGAGGGCTGCTTCGAAAAACTGGCGAAGCTGCGCGCGAAGGTTAACAATTGGCAGTGCGAGAAGGAGAGACGCGACTTTCTCGGTCAACTGTATCCCCTGATCTCGAATTGGGAGGGCCCGTATCCGAATCTACGGGCGATCTTCGCTCGGGGCGAGATCGACGCCTTCCTCGGCGAGTCCGTGCTCGCGAGCACCGACTATCATCGCGAGGTCGCTCCGCTGCTCGACTTCGTGATCAGGTCCGGCTACAAGGACGACGACGACGACGACAAAGAGCAGCAGCGCTCGTACGGCAGCAAGAAGTCGTCGGTGTATCGGGTCACGCCGGTGCATCGGGCCCGCGCCAAGTACTACGGCACCCACAACGGCCAGAACCTCGTGCGCAATCTGTTTCGCGTCTACAACTGTTACGAGGTGAACTATCGCGACGCCGAGGGCTACACGCATCTGCACGTGGCCTGCGAGTTCGGCTGCGAGGAGATCGTCGAGCTGTTCCTCAAGCTCGGCCGCGTCAGTCCGGACTGCCAGTTGCGGGGCGGCGGCTCGGGCGACAGCCCCCTGCATCTGGCCACGAAGCGGGGCCGCCACGCGGTGGCGCGACTGCTGCAGCGTCACGGCGCCGACGTGAATCTCGCCAACGCCGAGGGCCACACGGCCCTGCACATCATATGCAAGAACTACAGCGACGCCAAGTACGCCGAGAGGTTCTTCGAGATCGAGCGGGAGCTGCTCGAGAAGAACAACAATAACCCGGCGGCGCAACCGAGGCTGAGGATCGACGCGCGCGACAACGAGGGCAGGACACCGCTGCAGTGGGCCGTGGCGAGTCTGCTGCCTGACATGGTCGACGTGCTGATCGACAACGGCGCCGACCTCGCCAGCTTCGTCTTCCCCACGGAGAGCTACCTGGGCGAGCGCTTCAAGTCCAGGAACAAGATCTCGTACTGCTTCAGACTGAGACTGGCGTCCGACGCGCTGGCCTGCATCGAGCGCCTCGAGAGGAGAGGCTACGAGCTGAAACGCGACGACGCCATGACGATCCAGAAGTTCTTCGCCAATCACGGACTGTTCGAGAAGACGACGACGCAGCAGCAGCAGCAGCAGCAGCAGCAGGAGGAGGAGGAGGAGAGCCAATCGAATTGGCGCGACCAAGAGGAGTTCGCCGAGAAATCCAGAGAGATCATGGTGACGCCGAGCCTGTCGCTGTACGACCTCGTGCGACTGAGGCCCGAGGCGGCGGCGAAACTCGTCGCCTACGGGGACTACTTCAAGTTCGCGCGCCGCACCGATCTGTGGGACCTGCCCGAGGCGCCCAGGGACGCCTGCCTCGTGCATCTCTGCGAGACCATGTCGAGGCGATTTTTCCGCGCCTGGGCGATCGATCCTTTCATCGAGTTGACGCGCAATCGGCTGCCGCTTCTCTGCTGCGACCTCATCCTCGATAATCTGAAGAACGAGGACCTGTGGCGGGTCTGCCTGGCCGCGGCTACCGAGATAACGTGAAGAACGAGCGGACAACGACGAGAGAATACAAACGAATAAATTGGTTGAAATATGTTATCGGAGTTTTCGATTTTAGGCGCTAAGATGATTCATATGTGTATTATTCGATGTTTCTGTAAAAAGTAGAGAATAAAATAGATCGTAGATCGTAAACATTGACACGGCAACACGTTGTACGTATTTCTGCTACGTGACATTTATCTGCAAATAGTGTTATGGACATAACGAAATCAATATAATATGTAACCAAAGTCGTGAAGCAATCGCTCGAAATTTATACATGCAATTTGATTTGTAATCTCGCGCGCTACCCTTCCGCGCGACACATAACTCGCGTTGACAATTATTGGGCATGTACTGTACGACAGTATTGCGTAATTGGCCACTGGCCAGAGGGTAGATATTTGTTATTACGCAATTTTCGGATATGTACTTTCTATACGCGTTCTCGTCCTGCTGAAAAAAACAAAAGGGACACGATATTTTCGTGACTTTGCGCAACGCGAGCTTTTGTTACATCGTATTTTGAAACTCAATTGTAATAAATCGACGTGCTTCAGTTTCGATACATAAATATATTTATTGGTTCGACAAATTGGTACAATTTACTTTTTCGTTCATTCGGGAAGCGTTGGTTGAAAATATTGTTATTGTTTTTTTTTTGGTTTTAATCGTTAATTACATTCAATTCATTTCGAACGTTGTACAACACTTTTAGCGCGTAAAAAGCCCGCAATTCACACAAGCACATTTCGTCGATGATTAAGTTTTTTCGACCGCGTTATAATATATTTACATAATGTGTAAAAAAATAAGTGAAGCAGCAGAACATGCGTGCATAGTTTATTTTTTAATAAAACAACGTAAAATTTAATAAAAATATTATCGCTGATAGCTGCTCGCACAGACACACACGCATAAACACACGCTAAAAGCAATTAATTTATAACACTGCGATCAGAGTCGATTTGATTAAAAGTCGATTTCTAATTTATCGACGACATTTCAAATAGACTAGATAATGAACAGTTTACACGTAATTTATAAAGGCAAGTTCATTTACATTAACTTTTTACAAATTCATTTTCATAAAAAAAAAACATTGTAAATCTTATTTACAAAAATATAACAATTGTGTACAATGGCACTTGTTTGTTTTTTTATGTGTGACTTTCAAATTTGATCAATTTTATAAACTTTCGTAATCTTTTATCACATTTTCGACTTTTGCAAATGCCTCCAAGAAGTCATTTTCTTCCAATCCAAATTTTTTGTATTGATGTAAAAAGGCAGAATGAGTGTAAGTATTCCAAGCTTTCCCAACAATCTCTTCAAGCGTACAATGAATTTGAGAATTGTTAGAAACAAGAGCTAAAAATTTGTCTTGATTTATCAATCTTCTATCTTGATTTAAGACTGTCAATCGATCGTTAGGTGCAATCCAATCAACATAAAGCTCTTTACTTTGTAATTGATCATATGGCACTGCATCATTTTCCATTACTTTTCCTCTTGATATAAGGATATTAGAAACTGATTTCCAGTATGAGTATGAAGATCTTGCACTTGAGACTTTAGATGGAGCTTTGGTTTCAGGATCGGATAAAGCAGAGACTCTTAATGTTTCCTTTAAATGTTCTACATATGATTTCCAACTCTGAGATGATTCATATTGTTTTATCATGGGTGGTACATATGGTGTACTTTTAATTGTAGCCATTTTATAACTAGGATGAGATGCAACTGTGGAAGTTATGTAATTGGCATTACACCAAATATTACTGACTGGTTGAAAAACTGCACATAATTTCTTAGATATTACATCATTTATATCTATTAATCTAGTTTCAGTATTTTTCAGTACATTTGTACATATTGAATGAATTTGATCATTTTGAAAAATGAAGTTTAAATCAGCAGTTTCATTGAATTTAGCCAGTGTCAATAAAGTGTTATAATTTTGAACTCCAACTTCCCCAGAAGAAAATGGCAGTACAATGCAGCTTATTATACTTTTATTAGGAAATTCATCTCTGATTAAGTCAACTGCATAGCTCCCAACACCGGAACCTGTGCCTCCAGCTGAACTAAGAAGAAGCAAAATTCCATTGAACGAATCAGTTCTTTCAATTTCTCTTCTTGTGATATCTAAAATATCTGTCTTGAGTTGTGGACCTTTGATCATGGAACCATAAGCCCAATTGTTAGCGGATCCCCCACCAGACTGGCAGACCAAATTTTTTGATCGATAAACCCATCTGCCTGATGACTCACTACAAATTTTATTTACAACCTTGTGCTCGGTATCAACCAGCACCGATCTAGCTAGTCTCTTTCCATCTTTGCTTATACCCGTAAACCATTTTTCAAAACTTTGTTCTGTATAAGCACTGTTACTTTGCTTTGAAATACCTGTATCTTTGGCATCTAAATCTGCTGATATTTGACTGAACAGCGAATGGCCTAGTTGATTTCCACATTGTCCAAATTGCAGTGTCAGCATACCTTCAGCTGTGTGTAGATGTTTATCAGTACGTTATTGCACGTCTCCATAAAAATCTAGAAAAATTAATCATGAATCAGACTGAGTCACTCAAATGTCACAATAATATTTTAACCTTATATCATGCATGATTTTTAGTAGTTACAATGTATTTTGAATGAGATACAGTTACTCGTAATATTTTCTTAAAAACATTAAAAAACAAAAATTTAATAATTGCCGCTCGAATCTTAAATTAATTTTCTAAGGAGCCAAATTGTTACAACTCACTATAACTTGAGACAGAGAGAGTCCGTTGTCAGTAGCAGACATCTGAAATCGATCAAGCTAACTGAGTATTGTAAGGCACTGCAACATTCGAGTATCGCAACGATTATAAACTCATCGCCCACGCCTCGCTGCTGCTGCTACATGCATATAGCTCAACGATTGTTTCTGTATTAATGTGTTTACACATAGGTATGGTAACGCAACTCGATGTGGAAAGAGAGAAAAGAAGAGAGACAGATATGCGTGCAGTCTCGAGCGCTCACGTAATCGCCCGCGTTCGTAATAAATGCAACGATCTTTCTCGTATATACCTGGAATTTGTGCCGTATGATCTCATGTGCAGCAGCGGCCAATGACGACGATGCAAAAAAATAACGTCTCTTCTCGCGGCTTACGTTGATCTCGTCCTTGTGCACCATTGAATTTGGTGCATCGGGGCAACGAGGGCACACCGTCTGTCTAGGCCAATCGGCTCTACTTGGGAAATTTATAATTTACACGCGGCGGCTGCTGAGCGGCCTTATTTTCCAAAATTGGTGCATGACTCTTGGACTCGGTGAACTTGATTGCCTTTCGATCGGCGTAAAAATAAAAGTTTCGCGTGTTATTGTTGATTTGAAAAGAGCGTGTGCGATGTGCGGGAGAGTCGTGTTGTTCGCTTGCTCGAGAGTTGCGATGATGCGAGTCATTGTCGGCTGCGCCGCGCGAGTGCAATGTTTATAGAGGGCAGCAGGTAACGGATACACCACACCGAATGACAGTAACATGTGCATCTTCTTATTGGGACTGGTTTGCAGTTTACAACTTATAATAAGAGATTTAAAATGTTTTTTCTGGTTGTGTGATCAATGTAACTGAGAATTTTTACAAAATTAATGTACACAGAAGTTTAAATATATAAAATATTTATTATTGTCAAACTGTAGTTAATTTACTTCATTTACAATTGTTCTATAATACAAGATTTAATTCCTAAATTAAAGATGATAGTCGTGGGAATGGATTTTGCTTCGATATGACTAATTTTTTATGTTGATGAGATATGTAGCCCTTGATCTTTCCATCAAAAATCAAGTTACTAACTAGACACTCTGTTTCATCCATGTCAATGTCGCTTCTGCCATAAATTTGCAACGCGCAAAGAAGACTTTGAATCTCTATCTGATGTGTATTTAAAGCTAAGTGAACCTTCTTGAATAAATTTCTGTAAGCTATCAATTTCAACTTCTCCACGATGAGATAAATTCCAGCGTTGATCAAGAACGACTCCAGTTTGGACATTGTCTCCTCCAAGCTTCGAATGTCACCTTTTTTGACAGCCTCCACCAAGTCCTTGAACTCCATCAAATTGTACTTTCTTAATAGCGAATACTTGGGCATGTAACCAAGAAGCATCTTGACCGGCAGCAGATACGTAAGTATGAGCCTCTTGTTTTTCTTTGATTTCTTGTGACAGTGTTGGAAGGCAAAGGTCAGATAGTCATCCGCACCCTTGTAGTCGCTGTCGAACATGGCTTTTCTGCCAACGAAGAACTTGTAAGTGATCTGCTGAGCCAGAGAGAACTGATCCTTGTAGGCGCACGAGTCTATGGCTCTTATCAAGGGCTTGCACAGATGCAGCTTGTTGATCTTGAAGTATACCTTGAACAGCTGATTGACCAGCGTGAGCATGCCCCACTTCTTGGTGTCGTCCTCGGAGCTCCTGCTGTCGGCGGCGCATATCCTGAAGCAGCTCAGCAGGCACTCGGCGCACTTCTCCAGATTCTCGCCGGGCTTCACGATCTTGTTCTTCTTGCCCTTCTCCGCCTTGATGGCGAGCAGCCTGAGCTCGAGGCACATGGAGAACATCACGGGCAGCATCCAGTTCTCCTCCTTCTGCAGCTGCAGTATCTTCACCAGGGACTGCACGCTGGTGCTGTGATTGGCGTAGGTCACTGCGACGTCCTCGCCCTGGCTGTAGGTCGACATGGTCTTGAGATGGCAGAGCACGAGATCGTCGAAGGGCGGCGGCATGTACTCCATGGCCTTGGTCATGCACTGCTCCAGGTCCGCGTGCAGATACGGATGCTGGCGCAGCGACAGCAGATTGGCCAGGGTCTCGCCGTCCTGCTGCGCCCAGGCGCGACGCAGTTGAATCAAATAATTGTCCATGATGCGGATCACTTTGCTTTTTTACTGCTGCTTTTGTTGTTGTTGTTGTTGTGCTGCGTTACGTCTGGTATATAGAGAGAAGCAAGCGTGCTCGCTGCAGACAACAGACTACGGAGTCGATTGTACATACATACACACAGACAGACAATACAGAGACACACGAGCCGGCTGTTGTTGTGCCGATGGTGAGAAGCGCCGCGGCCAAGTTTTGCGTGCGTTTGAGGAATTAAGCCCGATTCTTCGTCACCTCCGTTATCTTCGTAAAGTGTATAGTTTTTACACCGCGTGAAGATTGATAAATCCAATGCATAACGATGTATTAAGTATTTTCTTGCAATTAACAAATTTTAAATAAAACCATTTTTTCGATCGTTATTTTGTAAACCTTTATTGAGAAGTAACTTGTCCGTGAGATGTCCGAACAAACGAACGTAAAAACAATGAAGAAAACATTTGAATTTCGTCAAGGCGAGAATCATTTAAATATGAAAGAAAGATACGTTAATCATTTACTCGTAAACAGCTTCGCATATCTCGCAGTAGTTGCAATATTTTTCGTACACTTATATACCGATTTATATACTTACAAGTGCCGCGTAGATAATACCAACAAGTTTTAATTGTCGTCGTGATACATTTTATATAAATTTTTTTCTCAATTTCTTCGTATCCAAAGTGCAAAAGAGCTAGAGAGAGAGAGAGAGAGAGAGATAATCGAGGCGCGCGATAAACACGTGTGTCGCGTAACACTGTGGATTTTCGAAGTCGATGCAAAAGAGAGTACTGTATACGAGGAAAAAGCTCCGCGGCGTTATCAGTGCAGTTCGAGCGACGTTCGGATATATTGACGTCGGTTTCGCGAAAAGAAAAAAAAGTAATAAAAAAATAAATTAATATATAAAATAATAAACGATCGCGACGCGAATCGGAATTTCGTCGATTGGTGCGTAACGAAGAGTTATATCGTATTATTATTATTTTGTACTATTACGACGTGAATGAAAAAGGAGCAGAAAATGTATAAAACGAGTTTGTGATAAAAGAATATTATGGCATCGATGGTGCATTCGTTGGGCGTCGAACTTTGATGTTCACCTGTCGTATGATGGAAGATCAATACGGTGACGTATAAAACTCGGCGATTACTAAGTTGTCAAATATCGCTTTTGTGGCTCGATCATGGAATTTTGGACGACGACGACGACGACGACGATGCGCAGCAGTTGCGACGTACTCGACGCACTGTGACACGCGATGACGTCGGACAATAGCGATCGATCGGTGGTGGTAAAATCGTCGCTGGGGCTGCGGTTGGGCGTCGACGACGACGAGGATGATCATCGTCGCGGCCGATCGCCTCCGCAGCGCATCGGCGACGTCAGCATCAGCGACTCGGCCGACATTCACATCGGCCACAACATCACCTACAAGGCACCGGTGAACATCACCCAGCACGTCTACACCGGCGACGAGAGGATCGATGCTGCTGCCTCGTCGTCGCAGGCTCGACGTTTTTCCCTGTTTCGATTATCGATCTGTCGTAAGAATTGCCTCGATATTCCTTATCTTTTATTTAGCTCTCGAATTCTCTCGTCTTCTTTTTTTTTTTTTTTTTTTAGACTGGTCGAGACGGAAAAAGGCATGGAGCATCGGTCTGGCGGCTCTGACGACGATCGTCGTCGTCGCCGTGGTGGTCGTTTGCGTCGGTAGCCTCGCGGCGACGACGGGCACCAGCAAATTTCCTCCCTGGAATAACGACTCTTGGACGAATAACAATGGTACTGATCGATTCTTTCATACGGTATTAATAACGAGAAAAAGGATTGTTTTTACACAAATGAATGTATTATGTATCGTTGACTCGATATTACGATCGGAGATTATTGCGGTATAATTATAGCAGCTCTCGAGTGATTTGAGCTCGACACTTTGGATTAATTGACCCCGAACGATCGATCATACGTTGCTGCTATCGACAGAAAAGTATTTTGGGCTGCGCAGCTTCGAGCACTCGACTGTTAAATATAATTGAAGCAATGTTTCAAGCATGACGCGGACACATTTTTTCAGAATTCAGGCAAAGTGTTGTTGGTATATAAATCTAAAAAATGTTTTTTACAATGTCTCGAACGAATTATCGTTACACGTTAGTGTAGCAATACAAGATTTCATCCTGTAGATGATCAACAGAAAATTCGAGATGGTACACCGATGATAGGTAAATAATCAACAAAACTCCAAATTTGATGTCTGCTGTATATTGGCCATCCTTTCGTAAAGATTCATGCGAATCTTTCGACGCTGTATATAAACGCTATAGACTTTTATCTCAATTAAATGTTGCGCAATGTACTGGTAAAAAGTTTCGAAATAAAAAAAAAAACTGATAATCTCTCTCGCCCTCGCAGATTCCACGCCGCAATTGCTGTTCGTCCAGCGCAGCCAGTGGTTCGCCGCGCCAGCCAAGAGCCCGCCGAGGCCTCTCGCAGCCCTGCCGGCGATCCTCGCGATCGTAAGCCACACGGCCGGCCCGTCGTGCCACGATCTCGAGGCGTGCGCCAAGATCGTGCGCGACATCCAGGATGATCACAAGCACGCCTGGGACAAAGGCTGGTCCGACATCGGCTACAATTTTCTCGTGGGCGGCGACGGCCTCGTCTACGTCGGCCGGGGCTGGGGCGTCGAGGGGGCGCACACCCTCGGCTACAACGCCTGGAGCTTGGGCTTGGCCCTCTTGGGCAAGTTCGACGAGATCGAGCCGACCGCGGCTCAGCTGTCGGCCACTCGGCGACTGCTCGAGCGGGCCGTCGAGCTCGGACACCTGGCCCAGAATTACACGCTGCTGGGCCAGAGACAGTGCAAGCGGACCCTGAGCCCGGGCAACGTCGCCTACGGGATCATCAAGAGCTGGCCGCATTGGTCGCTGCTTCCTCCGATTCTCGCGCGGACGACGACTGTTTGAATTTTGACCGAGCGGACGATTTTTCGTTGCAACGAAATTGTATGTTTGAAAAACTAAAACTCCGGATCGCGGATTTTTCCAGAAATTTTTTGGAGTTTCCTGGTACTTAATAACGAAGCTGTTTCCAAATGCTATAGGGTCCACTTTTAGAGGATTCGCTATATCGACATAGAACCAGTTAAACGAAAAAAATGCAAAAAAACAAAAAAAGGTTTTCGGCCCATTAGATTAAGCTAAGCGCAGGTAAGGGAGTTTCATTATTAGGTACCAGGAGGCTTCAAAATTGTTTGGAAAAGATCTGTGATCCGGAACTGAAAAGGTCTCCTCGTAAGATTGGTTTGAAATTTATGCACAGTAAAGTATATTACCTGAAGAGTTGTAAAAGAATTGTTCAAAGTTGGAATTCTTCTTGAAGTTTATCTACACCCTTGGCTGGTGAATAAATGGAGGGGTTATTGTTTTATGCCATACAAGAGAGTAAAAATCAGAGAAGGCTCAAATGAATCAAAAATTTAATTAAAGTCGTGTTAAATTTTAAAATTTTATTTTCTTCTCATTCTCTATAGAATCGATGAGAAATCTAACTAATTTTCAATATCTCAAACTAAATTTTTTTTACATCTCTTTTGAATGATAAAAATTTACCGTGTATACATTTCAAATCAATCCGACTTCTAGTTTTTCAAATACAATTTTGTTGAAATAAATAATTTATTCATCTACCCCAAAGCTACGCGACCTTATATACTTAAAAATGTACACACACACACGAATCACAAATTCGAACTCGATCGCAATATCGACGCTTATCAAATATATGTTTTACAGACACCCTGGTGGACGGGCTGCTCGTTCCGCGTGGGAGCTGGGGCGCCCGTGCGCCGTCGCGCGCCTCGCTGCCGCTCCGCGACCGACCGCCCGGCCTGGTGATAATCCTGCACACGGCCTCGCAGTGGTGCGAGACGCGCGACCAGTGCTCCGCGTCGGCGCGCAACATCCAGCAGTACCAGATGGCCGAGAACGACTACAACGACGTGGCGTACAACTTCATGCTGGGCGGCGACTCGCTGCTGTACGAGGGCCGCGGCTGGCTGGCCCGCGGGGCCTCAAGCGGCTACGAGTACAACGCCAAGAGCCTCGCCGTCGCGTTCCTCGGCAATTACGAGCTCGACCGGCCGAAGCCCGAGCAGTTGGCGGCTCTGGAGGCGTTTCTCGAGGTGGGCACGAGGAGGGGATTGCTGAGGCCGGATTACAAGCTGCTGGGTCACAGGCAGGTCAGCTCGACCGAGAGCCCCGGCAGGCATCTGTACGAGGCGATCAAGAAGTTGAAGCACTGGTCGCCGTCGCCCTGATATCGTATGCTATAGGCGATGCACTACTACTGCTCGACGTTGTAAAAACTTTTTCTCAATTTTATTTCTCGAATTAATCAGGTATCGACTAAGAATTTCGAATTTAATAGGTTTTCATATCTTTTGTAAGTAGATGTTCTTAAAGAGAGAAGAATTGTTACCGAAGAATTGTTACGCGTTACCGCGTAATGCTGGAATTTCAGAAGACGAAGAAAAAATCATCGATACATCGAACCAGACCAATAAATCAAAAAGTAGAGATTGAAAATACATTGTATCGTAATAATAATACTTTTTACTTTGAAATTTTCAATTATGTGTGTAACAAGATTTTTTTATTTCAAACCCTGGTCAATATTCCAAAAATCTTTCTGATCTCTATAGAGTTTCCCTGACGTTGAAATGCAATCTGTGATTCCACCTTGTGTCGATTTATTGACAATCCCTTTCGACGTGGAAAAATAAAATAGCGTACACGTCGTTCACGTTCTACGAAACGATTGATGTTTCAGAGTCGATAACAGCCCCGGAAGCCACAACGACGACGACGTCTACGTCTCCCATCCCCAGCTCCGATTCGACAGTGGTGAGCCGTAGTGAGTGGCAAGCCGAGCCACCCAGTCGTCCCCTAAGGCCGGTCGAGTCGGAGCCGTTGGCCTACGTCGTCGCGGGCACCACGGACATCAGCGGCTCCTCGTGCCTCGGCCTGCTCTGGTGCTCTCACGCCCCGCGTCAGCTGCAACGGTTGGCTCGGCTGCGGGGCTCCGCCGATCTCGAGCACAACTTCCTCGTGGGCGGCGACGGCATCGTGTACGAGGGCCGAGGCTGGGCCGTCGAGGGCGAGCACACCCTCAATGAGCTGGACGCGCGAAGTCTCGGCGTCGGCTTCTTTAGCGATCGCACGACCGAGCCCGTGGCCGAGCAGTTCCGGGCGCTCGAGGAACTGCTCGATTACGGCGTGAGCATGGGTCACTTGGCGCCGGATTACAGGCTGACGGATCGCTGCAAGCTGAGGCGCGACAAGAGCTGCTCGGCATTTACCAAGGAGTTGAAGAAATGGCGGCACTGGACGGACGAGCTTTAGCCGAAATCCGAGAGTCCGGAAAAAAAATGAACCAACATTGACCAACGCTTCGGAAAATAGAGCAGCTCAATGAGAAATATTCCAAGTGAGAGAGAGAGAGAGAGAGAGAGCTTAAAATTAGAACCGATGCGGCAACGCGGGCATTAAAGCTCAATGAGGCAGCTACTTACGCACGTATACTTATATGTACGCAATTCTCGCAGAATATTTTTTTTCTTTTTCTTCTTTTTTTTTCAAAGTAGAAAAACCGATCCACCGCGTCCGATGGGAAATCTACTCGAGTGGATACTAATAGCGCCCGCGCGCGCACACGATCTCTGCGGGGCTTTGTATTACGGAGTACCGTGTACAAAACAACGCGTCGGAATGCGGGAAGCTGGGGGTCTCTCGTGAAGATATCGTCACGGTTTGGTGCTCCAAAAATACATACTTGACGCTCTCTCTGGACTTATACTATACTCCCGGCCTTTATAACTTTGTGCTCGAGTCGCGTACAGTGGATTCGATTTCGTCGTCGCGCCCATTGACCGACGAGCTTGCGCGCGTACATTATTACGTTATTATTACGTATCGCACGTACCATCGACGTCGGGAGTGCGAATTTCGCCTATGTACTCGCGATCAACTCGGCTTTTCGACGAAGACGACGTTTACTCTATACGATATGTAGACGCGCTGGCAGCAGCTCGAGAATATTATTTCGCGCGAAAACTCGAAGGGTCGCGAAGGGGACTAACTTTCAATATTATCTCTCTCTCACTCGCTTTCCCATGCGTATCTCTCTGTTACTCCGGTGTCTCTCGCCCACACGAGTTTACACATTATACGAATTTCGCGAGTGGAGCTGTACGTATGAAAAGTTCGCAGGTCTATGTAGATCGAGCTGTCTCTCTTTCTCTCTGCTGCTGCGGCTGCTGTTGGTTCTCACTCGTCACTATCTAGCCTGCAAGCATGAACGTGTATGCGTGCGAGGGTTTCGGTACTTAGCAAAAGACGTACGGCAAACAGCTCGCAAAAGCGCAAAAAAATGTCTCTCCGCGCGCTATTGAGGATAAAATTGAAATTGTAATATAATGTTAGAACGTAAAGCTGTAAAAATGCGAGACTTTATGCTTTTTTGTAATTGTCATTGAAATAAAATTAAACGAGCCAATAAAGTAAAAATCTAGGTAATGACTCCGATTGATTATTACTTGAGAATCTATAATTTACGAGGTATTATTTTATTTTTCATTTCTTTGATTCCTTTTTTTATGGCATACCAGGGAATTATTACAAAACTAAAATGAAGAGAAAATAACTTTTAACGAACATACTCGTAAGCGCATCGTTGAAAAATACATATTATTTTGTATTAATGTAGAAAAAGCTCGTGTTTGAACGTAGTCCAGTATCGCTCGAAATAAATATACTTTTAACAAACGTATATGAGTTATGAAATTGATCCTTTAACTAGTCAGAAATTCTCTGCCGAATGGCTAAACGTCTCGGACATCATAGGACCATTGGAACTGGTCGGATACGAATCAAAAGATATTAGAAGAACAGATAATGTGACTTATGATTTTGACTTCTAATATATACTCATTTTGACTTTTCCACTTGCGGATTTGCACGCGAAGGTACACTCGCCATCTAGCGGCGGAGGTTTGAAGCGTAATTTTTCGTAACGGTTAAATTGTCTTTTTCAGGTCAATTGAAATGCGAACAATATACGTAACATAATTGCAACAAAAATATCGCCGAAGATAAGCCAATTAATTTTATTTTTAAAGAGTAATTTTTTAAATTTCTACAAACAAAGTATCCCGATGTTTCGATTCTTCCTTGAAAAAATGAACTAATACTCACGACAACGAGTACGTTTTAAAGACACAAACAACTCGAGCGATGTCATCATCGCAGCAGATCGAAATATTTTCGAAATTAATTTTTTAGCGAATAAAAAAAAGGAAATTATTCAACTTTGAACCCACCAGCCCCGAAACTTACACACATAATGCACATATTAAGATCTACGATCGTCAGTGTTTCTACCTTCAAAGTATAATGTAACACAGGTCGTCTGTGCGCTCGGCCAAGCTCTGCTCTTTCTCTCTCTTTTACTGTCTCTCTTGATGCTGCTGACTCTCACTCATCGCTGTATAGCTCTCATAGAGCTGCTCCACCGCATGCGCGCGCGAATATTATATATATTCGCCGAGCGAGGTTTATGCTTTTTCTGTACATACTCGGCAATGAGAGAGACAGACACACGGACGCGTAGAAAAGAAAAAAAAAGATCTCCTCTCCGCTTCTAGACATACGTAATATGAAAAGACGCGCGTTAGTATAGTCTTTGATCGACGCATATGAGCGTTATACACCTGTCCCGCGCGCGTTTTTTTTCTTTTTCATAACAGTCGGAACTGCTCCGTTTTTTTTTTTCGACTCCTGTCTGAATAAAACTTATGTACATACGAAGGCAATATCGTATCCGCGGAGGCTCCGTATAGTAGCTTGGCTCTCTTGGTCGATCGCGCCAGTCATAATATTACATACGGATATAGGTATCTTATACATACAGAATTTTGATATCTATAACGTAGCGTGCATATAAGTACGCGAACGACGACGACGCGCGTGTGCAAAATACAAGTGTGTGTGTGTGTGTGTGTGTGTGTGTGTGTGTGTGAGTGTGTGGGTGGACTGCGGCACTTCTGAATTCGCGTGCACCACCGCCGCCGCGACTGTGCACAGTGCTGCAGTTCGCGCGCGACTCAACGAGTACGCGGAGAGGGGGATATCTGATTCCGCTGCTATACACACGCGTTATCGTGCCTATAATAACGCGAGTACACGAGCGTGTCATACATATAATAGCTACTATATATATATGTCGCGGTGCAGTCGCGAACAGAGTAGTCAGTCTCTCTCTCTCTTTTCGGAGCAGCAGCGGTGGCGGCGGCAGCATTCCATGATATATATATTCTAGCTTCTATCTCTGCTGCTGCTGTCCGCGACTGTATATCCGACACAACGACACGATATTGTAACGTATACCTTAAATAGGTATATATACATAGGTGTACTGTACCTGTGCACACCTACACACGTACCCGCGCTTATACGATCCATCTATATCTATCAGTCCCCGCTGCTGATGCTGCTATGCAGCGCTCGTCGTCGACGCGTCGACTGCCCAGTGATACAGACACATACGTATAAAACGGCAGAGAGCGAGTCTTGTTCCTGCTCGTATAGAGCTTTTGTGCTACAGCTATACAGCAGCCATCCGTGCTACTATACCGTACAGCTTTTTTGTGGTGTAACGCGCGCCGACAGTTCGTACAGACACACGACCCCGAGGGCTCTCTCTCTCTCTCTCTCTCTTGCTCTATCTTGTACGCGGTGCCAGGGGGGGGGCTGTGAGACTGGCTCCTCTGTATATACACAGAGAAATTTAACACAGCTCTCTACCCCCGACACACTGTCCGCCGCAGTTTCGTGCGTGCCGAGCTGCTGCTCTAGCTACCTACGTCGACGCGGCGCGGCCTCGCGAAGAAAGAGAGACGACGTGTGTTTTGTGTGTGTGTGTGCGTGTCTGTGCTGCGTGTACCTATATAATCCCCCCAGCTACATTAAGGAGCTGCTGCTGGATTACTGCGTGTCTTCTGTGTATCTGTGCCCGTGAAAAAAAGGAAAAAATAGCGAACTCGAGGTTATGATCGTCGTCGTCGTCTCGTTGTTGGCTACTGCTGACCTGGAGTAGTGATCTCGCTGCGATTTCCTGCTGCAACGCGAATCGGAGCAATCGCAGAGCGAGAGAGAGACATCGTGTCAAATGAAATCTAGCGGCGATACCGTAAGTGTCATTCAATGGGACTCTCGCGACGCTTGTTGTTTTTTATTATCGTTATATATAACATTACGTCGTCGTCGTCGTCTGCGTGAGTCAGATTCTCTTGGTCCGCGCGCGCCTCAGCCCATTATGGACGCGCGCTTATTATTATAATATTACAACAGTCGTCGATGACCCGCGACGCTCCGACCGGACGACGGATACGCGCATTCTCGTTCATCTTTATAAGATCGTGTGATGATAATTATGCACTCATGAGTATACGCGATTTTTGTGTGTTTCAGTGTAACAACCACAGTTGTGATCGTGCTACATGCGGACGTCGTCGTTGTTGGCCCGCGCCCACCACCTCCACCGCCAGATTCCAGCGGACGAGTTACACTGCTCCTTTTGTCGTCGTCTTCGAATTGGCTTGTGCTCTTTAAGCGCGAGCATCGAGAGTACGCATACGGGACCATCATCCCGCCGCGGAACCCGCGATATCGTAATTGTTCTGCGTTAACGTGTGCGGCAGCGGTGCAGAAGACGTCCACTACTACGGCTGTAAACAAAATATACAGTGAGTGCGAGATTCTTTGGCTTTGTACGTGTGTGTTGTTTTTTTTCTTTCTTTCGTTCGTTATACACGTACAGTACTTGACTAGTGCGTGTTATGAGTACCGTATGTAATGAGCGTAATCTAATGTCAGTTAACTCAGTGACTCATGTCGAGTAAATTTTGCCTTTTTTTTTCTTACAAATCCCCTTTTTACTCGAGTTTTTCAATAAAAATTAATGATGGTGTTCATTGTAATTTTTGGGTACACTTATCATTATGTTTAGTAATATTGAAAATCAAAATCACAAATTATTTATATTTTTGGAATATTACAAGATAAGACACCAAGTCTCCAATCTAGAAATTAATGATTCATGAAATGATGTATATTTAAGTAACATTTATTGGTGACATATTAATGCTAACAGTATCTATCAATCAATGAAAATATTGAATTATACGTCTCGTAAGCTATTCAATTGTATTAAACATGTGTCTTGAAAGTGTATAATAAAATATATCTGTTTTGTAGATTTCATGATGTCTGATGACGACGATAAGCCTCCAGCACCTCCGGTGAGACTCACATCTAATCGTTGTGATCCAAACTCGTTGGTCGATATGAGGCCTTTACCCAAGGAACCGGATGCTGAAGATAAAAGGAAAAAGAATGCTAAAAACAAGATAAAACTGAAGGACAGCAAGGATAAACCCAACATTAGCTACCCAACAAATTTTGAGCACACTGTTCACGTAGGTTTTGACAATATGACAGGAGAATTCACAGGCATGCCTCAAGCGTGGGCCAGGCTTCTTATGTCAAGTAATATAAGTAAACAAGAACAAAAAGAAAACCCACAAGCTGTTCTAGATGTTTTAAAATGGTACGATAATAGCAGTAAAGAAACTAAAGGAAATAAATACATGACTACAGTTCGTACAATTGGAGGTATGGAGCAACCCACCGGTATGGCTTATCATTCTTTAATTGATCAAAATAGTGCAAGAAATTTGGAAACTTTTAATGCAGGAAATGTTCGAAATCAAGTTATATCTCAAACATCAGGCAGTTTACACTCACCTCACTCGTCAAGTAGAGTTAGTAGCAGTCCTAGTAGTACGCCAACAGATGCCAGAGCAACTAGCTCTGAACAGGAAGATGAGCTACCGCCACCTCCAATTACTGCTAGGCCTGAACGTACTAAATCTATTTACACAAAACCTGTTGAGGAAGGTGTAACTCTGTCTCCCAAGTCACCTGTCAATCAGCCTCACAATACATTTACAACTGAAAGATTTTCTTCAGCTCTTGATAAAAACAAAAATCAAGCTGTACCTATCCAAACAACGCCAACGATTCCGACAACTGATCAAATCCAACCACGTCCACTTCAAAATGAAAAGGCACGCAAAAAGCGGATGTCTGACGAAGAAATACTTGAAAAACTTCGCACAATTGTCAGCATTGGTGATCCCAATCGAAAATACACTAAAATGGAAAAGATTGGTCAAGGTGCTTCTGGCACAGTATTTACAGCGATAGAAAGTTCTACTGGCATGGAAGTAGCAATAAAACAAATGAACCTCTCGGCGCAGCCTAAAAAAGAGCTCATTATCAATGAAATACTTGTTATGAGAGAAAACAAACATCCTAATGTTGTAAATTACCTTGACAGCTATTTGATTGGCGAAGAGTTGTGGGTAGTTATGGAGTATTTACCAGGAGGAAGTTTAACAGATGTTGTTACAGAAACATGTATGGACGAAGGTCAAATTGCTGCTGTATGTAGGGAAGTACTACAAGCATTAGAATTTTTGCACTGTAATCAAGTCATTCACAGGGATATAAAATCAGATAATATATTATTGGGCTTAGATGGTAGTGTAAAGTTAACAGATTTTGGCTTTTGTGCACAAATATCACAAGAACAAAACAAAAGATCAACAATGGTGGGTACACCATATTGGATGGCACCCGAGGTTGTAACAAGAAAGCAGTATGGGCCTAAAGTGGATATCTGGTCATTAGGGATAATGGCTATTGAAATGATCGAAGGAGAACCTCCATACTTGAACGAAAATCCTCTAAGAGCTTTGTATTTAATAGCCACTAATGGTAAACCAGATATTAAGGATAAAGATAAATTAAGTAGCATTTTCCAAGATTTTCTAGATCAGTGTTTAGAAGTCGAAGTGGAAAAGCGATCTTCAGCGTCAGACTTGCTGAAACATCCGTTCTTGCGATATGCCAAACCATTAGCATCGCTGACGCCTTTGATTATGGCTTCAAAAGAAGCTGCTAAAGAAGCTATTAAAGATGCTGTTAAAGGTCATTGACCCATAGCTGACAGTGAAGTGTTAAATTTGGAAAACGAATAAACGCATTTTTAACACCCGAATGGTGCACGATTCAATGGTACGTTCAGCAAAAAACGTAAATATATAATTTATTTACATGCATAATTGCATGAGTACTCATTTGATTGACGTAAAACAAAAAAAGTATAATTACTATATCAATGCTTATAATTATGCAATGATTCTGGTAATGCATTGATAGTCAAACTCTAAACAAGTATATAAAATGTATTTATTATCAATAACTTTGCAAATAGTTTCGATAAATCAGGTTATTAAGACACCAATCTTCGATTAGATTTTTCCATAAACATGGTAAACATTGTTTAAAAGTTTAATTACAATAAACTAATACTATAAATGCACGCCAATGTAAATTTAGGTTTCTCTGCAACTATCACATAGTGACGACCATGTGATGATCTGTTATGATAAAGTTGTTATACAAAAATTACAATTTTATACATTTAACTCGAAAAATTGAACGAAAAATTGTATAAGCTAGCGAACATATATTATTATTATTATAATGTTAGAGAAATGTATGTATGTGTACATAAACATACACATGTGTACATGATATTAGCATTAATGATTATAAAGATCAAATGAAGATACATGATATTCAGATTTTCAGCATTTTATACTTTTGTAAAAGATGTAGTGAGACTACAAAAGTTTTTTATTTTTTTTTTGCTATTATCACTATTTTTGAACGTGCAAAAAGTCATGCAATTTTTTTCGCGATTTTTATCTTTTTACGAAACTAGTAAACAGTGTTTGATGTTTATTTGACTAACATTACGATATAGTAAATCAGTGTCATGCTTATTTTAATGATATATTTTGAACTAACATTTTGTTAATCACGACTTGAACTAAACATTTTTTAATAATAATGACCCGCAATTTCATTTGTAACTATTATTTATTTGTTGTCCAAGTATATTATGTTACATAACATGAATTTTAATCGTAAAAATGAATTCGTAAAAGAGCATTTGCAATTGTAGATAAAAGTGAAATCATGAAAGAAAATATTTTCGACAATAATTTTATTATAAATAGTTATTAACTTTGCGTTAATAATTATTGGAATGAAAATGAACTTAATAAATATGGCATTCATTCTGAAGAGGTAAATTAAAAAAAATGGGCCAATAAATATTACAAAGAATAAACCCTTGAGATGTAAAGAAAAAAACAAACAGGAAGTTTAGACCAGATCTCAGATAAAATGATTGTGCATCAACTCATTTACAAATTGAACCTATACACATCGCTCATGTACAAATCGCTTCAAACAAAAAATTAATTATACTGTTCATAATTATAAAACAAAAAAGCAAGAAGAAGAAAAAGAGAGAAGAGTGTTTATGGTGCAATCACACGATATTTTCTATTTGAAAATGATATTTTTTTACACCTCGATCCATCTGCTGTCACATACTATCATATAAGCTTATATAGACTCATCATCCCCCGTAAATAATGAAATTTCAAAAAAAAAAAAAATGATAAACATATTAATTGAAAAAAATATATATTGCCTATCGAACAGGAGAATGTGCCTATTATTGTCGATAACTGATGAACAAAATAAAGAAAAAAAAAATTGATAATGTATATATACTTTGACGCGAGAGCCGAAGGATTGTATTTGTAAAAACCTAAAATTTTATGAGGAAAGTTTTGTAAATAATGTATAATGGTCCAGTGTTAATAAATTGTACTCGAACATGCATATTGAAAAAAAAAATAATCGTAGTTTAATTCATTTACTTATCCTATCACACGCGAAACTTGCTTTTTTTCGGTCAATTATCATTCGAATATCACATACAGCTATTATTCACGGCGTTTGTCTCTATCCGTTCCGATAATAATTGACACCGAGGATTTATTACGGCTCGCAAATCATCAAGCAACGATAAGCCTGTAATAAAGAATCGCATCGATAGATTAACGCGCTATTTAGCGCGTAAGTAGGAAATATCGGGAGGAAAAAAGAAACGATCGCACTTATTTCGAACGAGATGTGCGCGCGTACGCGGCGGCATGTCGGTGTCCACGGACGAAGTTGACGACGACAACAACGACGAGAAAAATGTCTCGACGACATCCATCGCGTCTTCTTCTTCGTCGTCGTCGTTCGACTCCTCCACCGGTCGCGAGTCGAGTCTGCAGCTGCGACAGATCCACGAAATCCCGCGAGAAATCGGCGGTGTTCCGCTGCCGCGTTTGGAGCCCGCCGACCCGGCCGAGTTCGGCTCGCTCGTCATCAAGGACTCGAGGGGCCCGCACATCGGCAATACCATCATTTACGAGCAGCCGATCACCATCCGGCAAATCGTTTACGCCAATGGAACTGCCGCTGCTGATTCCGAGCGCGACGATGTCTCTAGCTGCGCGAGCAGCGTCGACGAGAAAAGATATTACGCGAGGAAGCTATCGCCGACAAGGATCGACAAGAGCGACGGCTTCGCTCGAGGTAAGTGGATGAAAACAATTAGAAGATATTTTTATGTTACCGTTTCAATTGCCTAGAGGCTGTTTGAAAATAGGCACTTCGAAGCTGAACTATTGATTTATTAAACACACTGTACATTCATTCTAAAATACTTTCACGCGGATAAGCGTACTGCAATTTTTGGCACGCGTTCAACTAATATATAGGCTAATGTATGTATGTTTCAGCTAATGATTTCGCGAAACGAAAAAAGCGTCTATACGTTTACGCAGCTATTGGAGCGATGTCGATCGTCATAATCGTCGCTGTGGCTCTTGGCGTAACGCTGCTGAGATCGGTTAGTGAATCGGTCGATAAATCGGTCACTGAATCGGTCAATGAACCTTCAGGTATTTATAGATTATTTTTCATTCATTATTAAGCAAATTAGTTAATGATTTTCGAAAATGAAATTGAAATAAAATAAAAATCCGAGCAAATAAACATTTAATTAAATTTTTTTAATTTATTTATTCGAGCGATATAAAAAGTTGTTTGCATCATTGGTCTCCAGAGACGTTTGCGATCGTACAACGATTATCACGGTACCTTTAATTTTCTCGTGTTTACTTCATACTCTTCTACCAAAAGCGCCTAAAGAACTTACATTTCGATACACGAAACCCGGTATGACTCTTTAACGCGACGTTCGATTTCTATCTCAATAATTAAAGTATCATCATTTTTCCATGCAACAGATCACGCGATCGTCACGACCGAGGTCGCGGTCGTAGACGTGCCTGAACACGACGAACCATCTAAGCCGCCGCCCAAAGAGGAAGAAGCGATATCCTGGCTGGTGAACCGAACCTCGTGGCTGGCTCGGCCGGCGCGTCGAACTCGGCCCCTGGCCCGGTCGCCGCTGCCCTACCTGATTGTCAGCGAGACGAGCGACGATCGCAGCGGCTGCCTCGACGGCGACTCGTGTCGTCGCGCCATACGCCGTCGTCAGCTCTACGACCTGGACAGTCTCGGCCTCGACGACATCGGCCCGAGCTTCCTGGTGGGCGGCGACGGCAACGTCTACGAGGGACGCGGCTGGTGGCTCGCGGGTCAGCACACGGGCCCGGGCTACGACGAGCGCAGTCTGGGCCTGGCCTTCGTCGGCCAATCGGACTCGGTGCAGGCCAGCAGCCACCGGAGGCAAATCGAGGCGGCTCGACGATTCATCGAGTTGGCCGTCGCGCGGGGTCGTCTGGCCGAGAATTATCGCGTCTACGCGGAGAAACAGCTGAGGGTAGGCTCGACGAGTCCGGGCGAGCGACTGTACGCCGCGGTGAAGAATTGGACCCACTGGTCGCCCGTAGCTCCGTCGATCGACGATTTCCTTTGAGAATCAACGGCGCGGAAATTTTCCAAGAGTTTACAAAAGGTTATAGATTGTTTTTCAACTCGAAAAAAGTAGCTGAAATTTCTAGTCGAATGAAACATTTATAAAATGATGCATCTTTTTTTTTTCATAAACTTACTCTTTTATAAGCTACTCAGACTCATACTCAGTTTTTGATTCAAACTTTAAAAAGTGTACGACATTTTTAAAACTTTTCTATTTCATAAAAAATCAATGTTCAAATGTTATAAGTGTTTGTAGAAGTAAATATATTTTTATGGCTGATTAAAATCGATCGTAATTATTTATCATGCATCACACATGAGCTATACAAAAGTCAAATTTACAATTGATAAATAGTCTCTCACATACGTTTTTAATGCAACATAAATATAATATACTACATAAAAATAAATCAGAGCCGTTGAGATAAAATTACTAAAGTTATAATCGATTTTCCTCGCTGGAAAATCGATGTCAGAAAATCACATTCTCAATAGCTCTTCTAGCTTTTTATTGTGAGTTTTTCCTTCCTCTCTACTCTCTTCGTTCCATTTGGGAGTTTCCACTTAGTCACTGCTATCATCGTCAGACTCGAGAGTCACCACATTCTCTTCTCTCGCTTCTTTGGGCCGAGGATTTACCACGTTCTCTTCTCCCGCTTCTACTGGCCGAGGAGTTTCCTCGTTCTCTTGGTGGCTCGTTTCGAACAGTTCCAATTCCGGTGGAATCGGTAACAATTTCATACTTTCGAAGACTTTGTCCATCACTTCCTTCTCGTGATCCTTGATGCCTAGCAACGCTAGTTCGTTGATTTCGTAAAGTTTCTTATTGTCCTTCTTCGAGCTGGTTTCCGCCACGACCTCCGCTCGGCACTTCCGGCAGTGAACTCGAAAGATCACGACGAGGCCCTCGACGTGATACTTGAGGACGTGGCGCAACGACAGCGGAAGCCTACAATTTTCGCACCAGAGCTTCGTCGCCAGCCACCCAAGATTAATGATGTGGCGGCCTTCGACGCGTAGGTACACACCTTCAACTTTATTCTCCACCTTCGGAGCTTCTGTGGATGTCTCGGTCGCGGAAGTCGAAGCCTTGGATGTCGAAGCCGGCCCCGTCGTCGGCGCAGTTGAAGCTTGTTTTGCCGGTGACCTAATGAGTTTTAATTTCAACGGGGATGTCATGATTACTCTATCGTATTCTCTTTCCACCGAGTTCGAGCCGATCCCTTGCGAAGTCGAAGGGACGACGAATAATCCTGAGTCGTTTGCCACTGAGTTCGAGCCGATCCCTTGCGAAGTCGAAGGGACGACGAATGTTCCTGAGCCGTTTGCCACCGAGTTCGAGCCGATCCCTTGCGAGGTCGAAGGGGTTGCCGATGAATCCGAGCCGTTTGCCACCGATGTCGAAGCTTGCGATACGTAGTCGCGGCAGTGGCCGCTCGTCGGCACCTCACAAACCTTGTCGCAAATCTGGCAGTGCACCTCGTAAATCCTGACCAGGCCATTGACCTTCACACCCGTGATGTTCATGAGCGAGATCGGGAGGTCGCATTCGACGCACCAGAGCCCATCCGACAGCGTATGCAGATCGACGATGTCGTTGCGTCGATCCGACGTCACGTAGGGCCGATGGTAGCGTATCGAGCCATCCCCCTGCTGGCTCGACAACAACAAAAAATGAATGAATGAAAATCAGAAAAAAAAACGTCTCGCTTCTGCGTTAACGAGTGCTAAATATTTTGCTAGATATAATACCAACCAAGACTGGTTTGCCTTTTTTCTGTTCGGGAAGTTGTTTCCTCAATTCTTCCTGCTTCTGGATCAAAAAAATAAAAATCAAAATAAAAAAAAAGTCTCGCCTCTGCGTTAACGAGTGCTAAATATTTTGCACGATATTATACCAACCTTGATTGGTGTGCCGATTCCGTTCGGTTTGACTGGGTTTTCCCTCGATTCCTGCCCCTGATGCATAAAAAAAAATAATTATAATGAAAACCAAAAAAAAAGCGTCTCGCCTATATGCGGTGTTGTACGTGAAATATTTTGCTCGATATTGTACGAACCCTGACTGCTCCGTCGGTTCCGTTCTGTTTGGCTGGTTCTTTCTTCGAGATCTTGCCTTGCTGACTCAAAAATATACAAATGAATAAAATAAAAAAAATTGTCTTGCCTCTGCTTTGATATGCGCGACATTATGCCAACCTTGACTGCTGGATCGTTTCCGTTCTGTTGGGAGGGTTGTTCCATTAATTCAACCTCCAGCTGAATAAAAAAAAATAAAAATTAAAACAAAAAAATCGTCTCGCCTCTGCGATAATGCGCGAAATATTTTGCTAGATATTATACCAACCTCGACAGGTGTAATGCTTCGGATCCGTTTGACAGGTTTTTTCCTCGATTCCTCCCCCGGCTGTCTCGAAACAAATAATAAAAACAAAACAAAATCGTCTCGTCTTGTTGGAGTATGCAAAAAATCATTGGCACATTATACCAACCTTGACTGCTCCGTCGGTTCCGTTCTGTTCGTCGATTCTTTCGCTCGATTCACCTACCTGCTGGATAAAAATTTTAAAATAAGAATCGTCTCGCCTTTGTGTTGATGGGCGCGACATTATACCAACCTCGACCGTTGCGTCGTTTCCGTTCGGTTCGGGGAGTTGTTCCGTCGATTCACCCTCCTGCTGAAACAACAAAAAAGAAACATAAGAAGAAGAAAAATCGTCTCGCCTCTGCGTTGATGTGCGCGAAATATTTTACACGATATTATACCAACCGCGACTGCTGGATTGTTTTCGTTCTGTTGGGGGGTTTCTTGTCCGGCCCGATTCACTGCTCGTAGCTTCTTGCACACAAATGGTTCGGCTTCCATCTTTTGATTATCGCAGTTGTAATAACCGAATTAAATGTTATAACTGGTGAAATAATTACGCGCGATCGTCGTCTTTCAGCCCGGCTCATTGACTACTATCGCCGGTGAGAGAGGCTATGCTGTCAACAAACCAATTCTATCGGTGGTACGAGCGATTCAATAACAACAAGACTCGTGTTACAATGATAGAATCAATAATTTTATCCAATTTTAATTTTCATGGGTCGAGAAAGTTTTGCACTTATTTGGCCGAATAGCGTTATAAACGTAAAAATAAGAAAAACACACTGCCCTTACAAAAAAAAAAACTTGTAAAATCAGACATCATAATGAAGGTAACCGATCGGTGAATTTTGTGATCGAGATTCTGTTCCGTTTTATTTCGCATAATTGTACATAAAATTCACGAGAATAAAATCATTATAGTCAGCCCGCGCCGCCACTAGGTGGCGAGTACCATCCCGCCTGTTAATCTGCAAGTGGCAAAGTCAAAATAATTATATATGAAACCCGATTTTCTTCTCTCTCGTTGAATTTTATGCTTTACAAACCTGTTAGCAAAATCTTTTTGAATCTGATGCAAATCTGACGCAATTAAGTACCAGAATGTAAGAAAATTTCAGCAGAAATGAACCCGTTAATTTCTGCAGACAATGCAATTTCTGCTTAATATTGAAACAGTAATAATCGTGCAGCAGAATTGTATAAGCTTTATTGCGATAATTTTGCAAGTACTTTCTGTATAATGTTTTGGTAATTCTCTTCAGGCAATAATTGATCTGAACAAATAAATGGAGGTATCATTTCGATAGGAAATTTTCTCAACTTTCTCATGGTGTAGTCAGATTTTCCGAAAAATTTCATTTTCACATGGAAAAATCAAAAATAAACCATAAAATTCACTTTTTCTGTGCTGAGTTTTTCGAGATATTTAGCTCTCCGTGTTTCATGGCAATTTTCTGGGTGGATGTTCGACGTATTGGAAAATCTGATACTACCATCAGAAAGCTGAGAAAATTTCCTATCGATCACAGTAATCAGTTATTTTTTTGAAATGAGTTTTGATACTTTTTTAGCGACTCAAAAATTGAGTAATTAGCCGTATTAACGAGAAAACATGATCTTTCGTCCTCTAAATCACAAAAGTAGCTATAAAAATATACACTCTTCAAATTTCGATGGTTCCTACGTTGTTACATGTTCTTAGGACCCTCAAAAACATTTCCCAGAGGTCCGTATTCGAGTAGTTTGAAAAAACTTGCCGCGATTCCACCTCCAAAAATGCGTTTTTTTTTAAAGAATTGCTCATATAACGTATACTAGTGACAACCACAGTTGCAAAATGCTGAGCGACTGAATGGTAAATAAAGAAATAGTATACGACATCATGATAATAATTGTTTCAGCCGTATGAAATTAATAATAGTAGCTTCAATGAGTATCATAATAAATCAATGTTACAATGAGTTTTTTGTGTCAGCTAATTTGGTAAAGCCGTTAAAATTATTATTGGTATAATTGGAAGTAGAACACAAAAATAGGGCGGATTTTTTAGTTTGATGTTCCCTACATGTACATTAGTATAGGTATATATGAATGCAGGTTTTCGTAATTCGCACGGAACGAAATAGATTTCACTTATCGATGTTTTGTGCTCAGCGTGTATTGACAACGTTGCGACCAAAGGAATTTGCACATGGCATGCCAACACATATAGAGCTGTACGTACGCATTAAGCTGGCCCGGTGTGCCCACGTGACAATATACATAGATAAATATTTGACTACATGACTAACCATGCATATTTAGATGTACAATATTCGCTCGTTGTGTAAAAATGGTAAATGATATAGATGCGACTGTAGTCACGTATTTGGCGTTAGTGTAATATAAAAATGTATATAAACCCTTCATTCGCTCACGTTAACTTTGTTTCATATTTTGCGCGTCGAAAAAAATTATGCGAAAAGGAGTATAGGACACATCATAAGCTTGATTCATGAAGTATTCAATAATTTATAATTTCTTTGTCATAAGATACAATTCAAAGAAAATGGCTAATTGTTTATTACGAGATCAATAGTATAATTTCTCCAATAATAAATGATAAGTTTAGAGTGTCTCAGTTGACATAAATTTTCTCAAACTTTCATTTCACGATTTGTAAATATTATTACACTTATGTTACTTAGCTCGATGTGTAACATCATTACAAAACAATTAGTCGTTGATCAAGTTCCGAGTGATAAACATGGACTTCAGTGATGTATATAACTCTGATGTCAGGTAATTTTTGTTTTGTGAGAATGAAATTTAAAAAAAAAAATGGCATAATACTTTATATTATTGGGAATATTGCAGAGTGAAGAAGGAACCAGATGATGTTTCCCGAATTAAAAATGAAGATTATAAGATAATTGACAATGCATGCGATGCTAAAAACGACGAATTCTCGAGTTTTTGTCGAGAAAATTTAGTAAGTGTTGATGTGGTACTGTTTAGTCAATATTTTGATCAAGTATTTTTACTAATCTCATTTCCAGATTTATGGGCTTCGTAAAAATGATGAAAATTCTGGACCTAATAACGATTTGGAAATAGAATTCGAATGTAAGGACGAGAAGCTCGGCATTAATTTATTAGTAGTCAAGAAAATCGAGGACGATTATCCAGATCAATGGCAGCATATGAAAAATAGTTGCGATTATCAGACTCCAAAAAAAATTAAAGAAGAAATTGTCGACAAAGTAAAAGAGGAATTGAATTTGGATGGTAAACTCAGTGATGCATTTGATGCAAATGAAAAAACATTTGCTCAAAATAGTCAACACAAAATCCAAACTGATAAGGCACGCAATCGTACCAAATATCCATGTAATATATGCGGTAAAAAATTTGCACGAAAAAATTATCTCAAGGTCCACATCGATGGAGTACATAATGGTGTTAAACATGCGTGTGGTGTATGTGGAAAGTCTTTCCCACAAAAATTTCATCTCAAAATTCACATCGATGCGATGCATAATGGTATGGCACCTACTTGCGAAGTATGCGGGAAGAAATTCTTAACTGAAGCTGCACTCAAGATTCACATCGATGCACACAATGGTGTTAAACATCCATGTAATGTATGCGGTCAAAAATTTTCACGAAAAAGTTATCTCAAGGTCCACATCGATGGAGTTCATAATGGTGTTAAGCATACGTGTGGTCTATGTGCAAAGACTTTCACCCGAAAAGGAGATCTCAAAATTCACATCGATGCAATTCATAATTGTATTAAACATGAGTGTGGTATATGTGAAAAGACATTCACACAAAAAAGAGAACTCAGGAGGCATATCGAGGGACATAATGGTGTTAAACATCCATGTAATATATGCGGTCAAAAATTTTCACGAAAAGGTCATCTCAAGGTCCACATCGATGGAGTTCATAATGGTGTTAAGCATGAGTGTGGTCTATGTGCAAAGACTTTCAAACAAAAAGGTTATCTCAAAATTCACATCGATGCGATGCATAATGGTATGGCACCTAAATGCGATATATGTGCAAAGACTTTCACACAAAAACGTTATCTCAAAATTCACATCAATGCGATGCATAATGGTATGGCCCCTACTTGCGAAATATGCGGAAAGAAATTTCAAACGAAGACTGCACTCAAGATCCACATCGATGGACATAATGGTGTTAAACATGCGTGTGGTGTATGTGAAAAGACATTCACACAAAAATGTATTCTCAAGATCCACATGGATGGACATAATGGTGTTAAACATACGTGTGTTACATGTGGAAAGACATTCACACATAAATGTTCTCTCAAAATTCACATCGATGCGATGCATAATGGTATGGCCCCTACTTGCGAAATATGCGGAAAGAAATTTCAAACGAAGAATAAACTCAAGATCCATATCGATAGAGTACATAATGGTGTTAAACATGCATGTAGTATATGTGGAAAGACATTCATACTAAAGGGTAATCTTAAAAAACACATGAATTTGATGCATAATAAGATATTGTAATAAGTGCGGCAAGACATTTTCTCAAAAGGATCGTCTTATAACTCACATTAAAACGCAGCACGAAGACATTGATCACGCTTGTGTTTTATGCGGAAAAAAATTTAAACATAGAAAATATTTATGCAGACACGTCAAAAATGTGCATGAAGGCAATATTCAAGCATAAAATCAATACAAAAGATCTTGAAACGTACCTATCAATACCGCGCAAAATGATGAAACATCGGGACAAATAAATAAATTAACTTATCATAAATTAACATGTATTTATTTATTTGCATATAATAAATAAACATATCATACATTTTTGCTCAGTAGTGATACTCAAAACACGACATATAATATAATTGTCATCGGTACAATTTTAACTGAAGCACGACATAATTATACTATATCTCAATCATGTTGCGCTCAGTATAGTGGTACTCAAAACACGACACATAATATACTTGTCATAAGTACAATGTTAAATACAGGCAAACCCCGTTATCCGCGGATTCGTTATCCGCGATTCTTCGTATCCGCGGTACCCCTATTTGTGACCCAAATTCAGTATCCGCGGTTTTTGTTTTCGTATCCGCGGTTTTTTTCTGGAGGTTAAAATTTTGTGCGGTCAAATTTAAAAATTTTTTTATTAATTTTTATTTAATTATGTCTCGTCCAACACCAAAAATAAACAGTTTCAATCGAAAAAAAGCGCGATAGAAAAGTTCTTAATTTGGTCGAACAGATCAAAATTCTCGACGCGTTGGCATCTGGTGAAAAAGTTGCTACAATCGCAAGAAGATTCAACGTCAACGAGTCTTCGATCAGAACAATCAGACAACGAGAAAAAAACTCGAGAGAGTGCAAAATCTTTGGGGAAACATGCAGAACAATGCAAGATAAATCATAAGTAAAATTTTAGCTGATGCAGAAAAACTCATTGAACGAGCCATAAATCATGATCCAATAATGACTCGTAGCCTTCAATTCAAGCAAGATATAACAAAATCATTGCAGTGTTATGAAAGTTTATACAAAGAGTTGATGCCCAGAGCGAAGCAAAAAAGTTTGACCAAGTATTTTACTCGAAAATAAATAAATACTTTGACTTTTCATAAGAAAAAAGGTGTTTTACTCTTTCGTACATTGACATTTCAGCTGGACGAGGAACCGAACCCCCCTTTTCCCATTAGAACAATGCTTCGGTATCCGCGGTTTCGGTATACGCGGTACTTTTTCGGAACCGAACCCCCGCGGATAACGGGGTTTGACTGTACCGATACACAAGTAAGACCAATCGCAAACAAAAATTACGTTTTTTCGAAGTGGAGATGTCGCGAGGTGCAAAACTCAAAATTGCATAAAAAGGCATTTTTTGTATATTAGGATATACGGATGTCACTAAAAAAGTATACAGCACTCCGTGAACACCTTAAGAATGCTATGTAAAATTTTCAGATCGATTGGTTTATCCCTGCATGAGTTATCGCAGTTAGAGTAAAACATCGAAAATTAGCAATATCGAATGTGTACGACTTTGCTGCGCTCGGCATCAATAAATAATACATTACGCTATATAACGCGCGTGAGCGGCGAGCACAACCAGAATTTGCATGCACTCGTTCGCATGCAGAACCAATATGTGTATGGCGACGCACTATGTGGTCAGTAGTTTAAGACTACTTTTATTTTGACTAGACGACAGAGTTTTTAAGCAAGATTTTCTCAATTCTAACACAAAAAACATTTTAAATTCACTTTGATAAGAAATTGAATTGAATGCTGAAACAGTTGACTAGTAATCTGCACAATTATTTTTTCACACGTTTGTGCTACCAGGGAATGTATGCTTCATTCAAAAGAATCGAAGTGCAATCGTATTTTAGGCAAATCGATTACTCGAGGTAGGCATCGATCGTACGCAAAACGATCGCCTTCATGGATGCGAGCAGTTCTATATTCTTTTTTAAGGTCAAGAAGAATGAGATAAGACTCGACGATGGCAAAATTTTTGACAATCCAAGTTTCGCGGCTTGCAATTATCGATGTATTCAGAATTGCCGTCGCGCGCGGCTTTCTCGTTTGTAAATCGTTTGTCGAGGCGTCGAGTGCCGATGATAACGAAATGGACATTTTCTCGTTGAACGAGTCGAGTTGGTTTTAATGTTTGATTGTTAAAAAAGATTAAACTGAGCATACAGAAAAACGATTAAAACTATTCTCTCTCTCTTCGACAAACAGTGCGAATATATTCTCGGATTCATTGAGATTACGATGAAATATCTACATTCGTTATAGATTCAGAATAAACTCGTGTAAATATCGAATCGATCGGTTTGTTTACGCAGCGTTGCGTACACGTTGTAACTCTAATTATTTTTAATCTAATGAATTAAAAAACCATACAACAACAATCGTAGATAAAAGTTTTGAAGCAGGAGGTCGTTTCAAAAGAAAATAATTACGATTCTCGCGCTTACACATTAATGATCGTTCGCAAATAATTGCCACCGGTTATTTCTCAAGTGGCATTTGTGAAAAGACGCACGCGCCAACGAAAAAAAAAATGATATAAATTCGGCCAGATCGAAGTCGAAGAGCATCACAAGTGTCTCGACGACGGCTTAGCTCACAACTCGATCGTAAGGAACGAAAAAAAAGTGAGACTCTCGTTCGATCGTTGTTAAAATTATAAACCAAACTTATTGGAGTTGTAATAATCGATCAATTTTATTCTTTTTCTCCACAGTCAAGATGAAGAGTTTCATCCTCCTAGCGGTACTGCTCTGTCTGGCTGTCGCCTACGCCCAAGAAAATGGTAAGTAACACTTCCTCTCTCTCTCTTAACAAAACGTGACTTTGTATCATCTCGTTCTCCTTACAGACTCGCTGGAAATCGTGTCGCGCGCCGAGTGGGGCGCCAAGAGGCCACGCCGCCAGCCCCAGGCCCTCACGGTCGATCCGGCCAGCCACGTGCTGATCGCCCACACGGCGGGCGGCTTCTGCCGGGAGCGTCACGGCTGCTACATGCATCTGCGCAACGTCCAGGCCCTCAACGTGCAGCAGTCCGGCTTCAACGACATCGTGTACAACTTCATGGTCGGCGGCGACGGCCTCGTGTACGAGGGTCGCGGCTGGGGCGTAGCCGGTCAGCACACCCCGGGCTACGACGCGAGAAGCATCGCCGTGGCCTTCGTGGGTGACTTCGAGTACAGGCGGCCGACCGAGGCGCAGGTTCAGGCGGCCCGCGAGCTCATCGCTCACGGCGTGAGGCTGGGCATGATCGCGGCCGATTACAAGCTCGTGGCGCAGAGGCAGGTCATGGCGAATACCAAGAGCCCCGGCAAGCAGGTCTACGACATCATCAAGGGCTGGGAGCACTTCTCGCTTTGAATTTAGATGATAATGAGCGAATTTGTATAGTATCGTTGTAGCGTTTCAATAAAATTCATGTGAAATCTTACGTTTTCGACTCTTGGTTGTAATTTTGTACTCGATGTATACCAGCTCGATCGCGGCCGATAAGATTTTCGAGAAATTTTAGTATTACAAAATACCCTCGGAGATAATCGACGTAATATGCAAACTTTTATTTTTTGTTTCAATTACGACACGATTAAACGACACGATATATCAAAGATAAGACCGCACTTAGTTTTTGTTTTTGTGTGTGTACAGCGTTGAAGAAACAACGAAACGATTATCGCATGAATCGAGATTTAAATTCAACCCAGTTGAATTATTAGTACTTAGAAACGACGAGCGAAGCGGCGCGCAGAATTGCAAAATATATTATTTGCGTCTATAGGTCTAGCCGACAGAAAACAAAAGGCCGCCGCTCGTGCATATGCTACCGCACGAAAAAGTCATTTTTCATTCGCGCGATGACACGCACGACTCATTGGCTCGAATTGCGGGATTATCCCCCTCGATGCGTCGTATATAGTATTTATAAAAGTACGATCCTACGAGACGTCGGAGCTCGCGCGTCGCAATTGACACCAGTGCTTCGTTGGAGGCTGCAGCGATCGCGCACAGGTGCATAATAAGTATATTGTAATAAAACGCGCAATTCTAGGCGAACTATAACAAATTGTCGACCATGAGCCCGAGGCTTCGTCGCTTCTCGACGGCGTGGATGCTGCTGCTGATGCTCTGCGCGAGTTGCTGCCTCGCTAATCCCACCGGTGGATCGATCGGTATGTATATATTCGAAAAAATTTTTGATTATTAGAAAAATCGGTAGGAGTAATTCCAATTCTTACTTTGAAAGTTGTACACCTTTATTTAACATTTTTAGGCTTGTAACTTTAGGATCAAAATATTCCTAACTAAGCCTTCTGAGTATGGTGAAGTTGAAGATTGATTTGATTCATGAATTATAAATGCAACTTCGTAATAATAATAATTCATCATCAGCTGCACAATAATAAATACTTGAAATTACGTTTGTCGTGTATTTTTGAAACATTTAGTGTACAAAAGGGTATTCTTATTTTTTAGGACCTTTTTAAACGAACTCGATTTTATTTATAAATAAAATTTCTCGCACATTTTACGTCTACCCTGTAAAAGACGATTCATTTTAAGTCCAACTAAAAGTGTTGGAAAGTGACATGTGCTTAGTTTAAAATTTGTTTAGTGGCACAGTAATAGATTGTAAGAAACTATTTCTAATATCGTGTATCGAACTCTTATTTCAAAGTATAGAGGTGAGTTATTCATAAATCGACACATTAATCACGTTTTCGCAGACACGAACGAGTTCGGCAGCGGCAAGTCGAGCGCGCCGCAGCAGCAGGAGCGCAAAGACGTGCGCATAATCGGGCGGGCCGAGTGGGGCGCCCTGGAGCCGACCGATCATCATCGGCATCAGTCCGAGACGAGCCGACCGCGTCCGCTCAAGGTCCAGCCGGCGCCGTATGCCGTGATCGGCCACACGGCCACCCAGTCCTGCTACAACGAGGCCAAGTGCCAGGCGAGCTGCCGCCTCATCCAGACGTTCCACATCGAGGCCAAGGGCTGGCTCGACGTGGGCTACAACTTCCTCGTGGGCGGCGACGGCAACGTGTACGAGGGCCGCGGCTGGGACCAGGCGGGCGCCCACACGCACAACTACAACAATCGCAGCCTCGGCCTGGCCCTCGTGGGCGACTTCACCTTCAAGACGCCGCCACTGGAGCAGCTCGAGGCCACCCTCGGACTGCTCGAGCTCGCCGTGGCCAAGGACAAGCTCGCACGCGACTACAAGCTGCTCGGCCAGCGACAGGTGGCGCACACCTCCAGCCCGGGCGACAAGCTCTTCAACGTGATCAGGACCTGGGAGCACTGGTCCGAGAGTCCCTAGACGAATTCGACCTACGGATGCTTAGCAAAAAGTTATTGTTATTATTAAAAAAATTGAAAGCTAGAGCTCGATAGTTGTGATTGCGGTGCTTGCGTGACTGATAAAGATTACGAATATCGTTATATCATGTACTATATTTACGTAGCGTCGTTTTAGTCCCTCGTTATAATCTCTCCATGTACATATAATAACTCATAGTTAAAAGGTACTATACATTAATCATAATATATAATACAAAGAACGAAATAAAAGGCCACTTTCGAAAGATAACGTAATGATTTTGAACTTGACCCTTTAAAACGACGATCCAAGAATACATAATATCAAAGCCTGTTTTTTCCAGTCTGCGCGTTGCCTCGCGCCTTCAATTGCGGCATACGAGTGCACGTGTACGCGATTGATAATAATTGCGCGCACACACACACAATGCTGCGCACAGCTGATATAGAGCTCGCACGTCAGGTTTATAATAATAGGCGAAAAAAAGTTGCGCGGATTCGAGTGCAGTCGCCTCCGTGCGCGCCTCTCTTGTAGCTGCAACTATATACATTTGATTTTTCAAAAATACTACAACAACGAGAACACGTGGACCTGTTTTGTGTCCACGGAACGTCAGCGAAGGTATTAAGACCGATTATATAGAAACTTATATATAAAACAATTCGTTTGCTTTTGACAATGAAATCTGACGGTTGCGAAGTGAGATTTATCAACGATGCAACGATGGTAAGTTTTTACTGGATCATTAACTTATTTGAATAAAAATTAACAATCATTTTAACTGATATAATCGTCTCCGGGGTATAGGATTATTCGCGGTCAATGCCTACAAAAAGGGAGATTTAATTATTAAAGAAAATCCCTTGGTCGGTTGTCAATTTCTTTGGAATCAAGATTACGGCCATACAGAAGAGTAAGTTACGTGCCTAACAAAAAGTACAGATTTTGCACTACCGTATCCTGAATTTTGCCAGATAGATACAGCGGCCATTGCAGTATGTGAAGCTTGTGGCACCAAATATTGCAGTTCCGACTGTCGGAATGAAGCTTTGACGAGGTATGGTATTTTAAAAATTTTACTTCTTTTTCTTAATTGAAATACTAATTTAGTCATTTTTTTCCAGTTATCATCAAAGTCTCTGCTTGCTAACAAAAGATAAAGTTGATTCCCATCCACTTGTTGAATTGCAAGAATTACATGGAAAGAAATGCATCCCAGACCAGAGTTCATGGATATTATGTTGATACCCCTAACAGTTGCTATGATCAATCAGGCATCGGATAAACAAGTTATGATTTCGACATTTTATCAACAAGAATTTAGACATACAGAAGGATGTGCTTTATATACCTTGACTTCACATATATGGAGAGTTAATAAAAAGTTAGACATTGCGCTGTCAAAGGTTACCTTCAAAATTCAAGGTCGTGACACTAGCAGTCTAATTGTAATAGCTACAAAAGACATACAGCCTGGAGAACAAATATCGGAGTGGAGATCTGAGTATATTAACAAAAGTTCATCATATATTTAAGGGAATTATCTTGTCTTAAATAAATTATTTCTTTGAAAAAAGATTGTTTGTGGTACACGAAAATATCAGTATTTTATTTTTACAAAGTATGTATCGAATATTTTGTAGTGTTTATATTTTATTGTTGTTATTACTAAGTACAGTGACTTCGCAAAATATATACTTTTATTAATTATTATCAGTGCAGTTTTTTTTATAAATCAAGATATTAATACAAACTTATTCAAATTTGATCTTATAATTTATTTTTCAAAATAAATTATATAAATTATTTTTTTTAAAAACTTTCTTTGTCCACGAGACAAATCATATTCAGTGTTAGATATAATTTGAGAGCATTCGTAATACAGTTAAACAATAATCCTTTAACAATTAGAGCTTTTATTGTTCTATCAGTCATTGTAAATGAAACGACACGTACTTCGTTAACATTATGTTAGCGTTTTCGTCGCCAGATGTCCAGACGTTTGCTCGCGGAGGCTCCTGCAAAAAAAAAGAGTCGAATCGATCCATTAAGACGAAGATGAAGTTGCAATTTTTGTCTTTCAAGTCTACTTCCGTTTCTGGGTGCAAGAGATGTCGTTAAATTTTGACTTGCAACGTGTGCGCGACGCAGTGAAAAGCCGGGAGTTATTCCTGACTCAATCTATTTCAACTTTTTTATCGATGAAAAAATTAATCACTTCGATATTGTCAGTATGACAGGCCACGTGAAACAGCGATAACCCCTTGTCAACAGACATTTTTGGACGATCTACAACGATTTCGACCGACCAACAACGAAAGTATATAAACGTGTTAATGATAGTTGTTAGCGCTAGGTTAAGGTAAAACACAATCATTTTGCCACAAGTTTTATTGAAATTCTAGAAAAAATCTCAATAAGCTTCAATACATACTCATCTATCGCATACATAATCCTTACGACCTTCATGGACTGTCATTTTGTGAACGAGCAAATGCGATCTTTTTCCGCATTTTTTCTCGCAATTATCGCATACGTAATCTTTGCGACCTTGGTGGATAGTCTTTTGATGTTTGATCAAATTGCTTCGTTCCCCAAATTTCTTTTCGCAATTATCACATACGTAATCTTTGCGATCTTCGTGAACTGTTATATGGTGTCTAATCAAATTGCATCGTTTTCCAAATTTTTTCTCGCATATGTCGCATGCAAAATCTTTCTGATCTTCATGGACTGTTTTTTGGTGATGGAACAAATGTCTTTTTTGTCCAAATTTTTTCTCGCACTTGTCGCATTTGTAATCTCTGCGACCCTCGTGGACTGTTCTTTGATGGAAGAGCAAATGCGATTTTTTCCCGAATTTTTTCTCGCAGTTATCACATGCGAAATCTTTGCGACCTTCATGTACTGTCCTTTGGTGGAAGAGCAAATGCGATCTTTGTCCGAACTTTTTTTCGCACTCATCGCATGAAAAATTTTTGCGACCCTCGTGGACTGTCCTTTGGTGCTTCAACAAATCTGATTTACTCACATACTTCCTTTCGCAATTTTCGCATGCGTAGTCTTTGCGACCTTCATGGACCGCCCTTTGATGCCGAAACAAATCTTTTTTCAGTCCAAATTTTTTCTCACAACTGTCGCAAGCGAAATCTTTGCGACCTTCATGTACTGTCCTTTGGTGCTTCAAGAAATCTGATTTACTCCCACATTTCGTTTCGCATTTGTCACAGGCGAAATCTTTGCGACCTTCGTGTACTATTTTTTGGTGAAAAAGCAAATTGCTTCGAGCCCCAAATTTCTTATTGCACTTATCGCATGCATAATCTTTGCGACCTTCATGGACTATCCTTTGGTGCTTCAACAAATCTGACTTCCTTCCACATTTCTTCTCGCAATTTTCGCATGCGTAGTCTTTGCGACATTCGTGTACTGTCTTTTGATGGGAGAGCAAATGCGATTTTTTCCCGAATTTTTTCTCGCAGTTATCACATGCGAAATCTTTGCGACCTTCATGTACTGTCCTTTGGTGGGAGAGCAAATGCGATTTTTTCCCGAATTTTTTCTCGCAGTTATCACATGCGAAATCTTTGCGACCTTCATGTACTGTCCTTTGGTGGAAGAGCAAATGCGATTTTTTCCCGAATTTTTTCTCGCAATTATCACATTCGTAATCTTTGCGATCTTCGTGGACTGTCTTCATGTGCAAGAGCAAAGTGTGTGTAGTATTAAATTGTTTCGAACACATTGCACATAAATAATCTCTGAAAACTTGGTGGAATACTTTTCTGTGCTCGAGTAAATTTGATTCATTATCAAATTTTTTCTCGCAATCGTCACATGGGTAATTTTTTTGACTTCCGTGAACCATTTTTCGGTGCGTATTCAAAACGCCTTGAGTCACAAATGTCTTTTCACACATGCCACATGTGTGATATTTTCGAACTTCGTGTACTAACGTTTGGTGGTACAGCAAACTCGCTTTATGTGAAAATTTCTTCTCACACTTATCACATGGGTAATCTTTGCGACTTTCGTGGACTGTCTTCATGTGCGAGAGCAAACTATGAATAGTATCAAATCTTTCGGTGCACATTTCACACAAGTAATTGGTGAAAACTTCGTTGGATAGTTTTTGCTGCTCAAGTAAAGTTGATTTGTTTTCAATGCTTTGTTTGCACTTATTGATCGTGAAATCTTCGCGATTTCTATGCATTAGTTTTTGGTGCATAATCAAACACGATTGATTAACAAATTTCTTGTCGCACTTCCCACATGCGTATTTTTTTTGTTCAGTGTGAACAGTGAATCGGTGAAATATCATACTTGATTTTATTGTAAATATCTGCTGACAAATATCACAAATGTACTTTTTGTCGCTTGAAGCAACAACGTCGTGTTCACTTGAATTATCTATTGAGACAATTTCTTCCGATTTCTTCTGACTTTTATCCATTTTGGTGCCACGGAAATTTAACGAGTAAAATTGATCTTTTCGGTGTTATATCGTGGGAATCGGTTATAACATTCAATAATTAATTTGATTTTACTGTAAACATGATCGGTGTGACGGGAAACAACGTCAAAATCATTTATGATCATATTGTTTACAATTAATTTGCCGATTCATCTGTTTATACATTGTTCTTACAATACTTGAAACAATTTAAAATTCTAAATTATTTAGCTTCATACTTTAATTTATAATTAAGCATCATTTCTACATACAAGCATATAATAAAATCATAATTAGACATTAAGTATTCCTTTCAGGCGGTACACGCAGCGATTTTCACATTCGAACGGAAATAATTCAAACAAACTAAATAATCATAACTGTCGCTACAGCTTTGTAACATTATTGAGCATAGCCACAGAAGGAAAGGACCAACGGCTTGTTTATACCAACAGCGGGAGCTGCAGTGCAGGTAAAGTTTCGTGTTGAGCTTTCAATTGTTTATTGCATCAATAAGTAGGTACTCGCTGATTTTTTGTTTCAGAGCCACTGACAGATCTCAGCATTTTGTGACAAAGCTCTCATAGCTCTTGGGACGACCGTTTCGTGTTGCGCGCGCTCGCAGAGCATCATCGAGGTTATAATATAGCGCTTTTTACGCGAGCTGCCACCGTCGCCGCCGCCGCAATCGATATCGTCATGGCTAGATACAACTTACGATCACGACGACGGACGATCGAGCCGACGTAAGTATATTGTAACGGAGTCGTTGTCCGCGACGATGATTCACGATATACGCAATGTCGCATTACAAGTCCAGCGACTCGTAAATCGTAATTCGTAAACGACTCTCTCGACGCATGCGCGTCACTCGCCGAGGAGGAGTGGAGCGAATGTGCAGCAGCAGCAGCAACGCGTTGCATTTTGCAATTTACCGTTGCGCTTTATTGCAATGCAATGTTATCCAACTGCAGTAGCAGCCGCACACAGCAGCAGTATAGAGCAGCGAGCCGCCTCAGTTCGCGCGTCGCTTCGTGCTCGCGCTCCGAATTTCCACGATAATATCGCGCTGCTCGAATCGAATTCACGATAATCTCATACCGAGAGAGAGCGCGAGAGAGCAGCCATTCGGGCCAGGACGTTTCTGTACTATACACCCCCCTCGTGCGCGGCGTGCCTATACAGTGCGGTGGTGCAGCAGCGACAGCAGCAGCAGCTTCGATTCAATGAAGAGGGTGAAGAAGAACGGCGGAACGTGAACGGCGCCGCCGCCACCGCCGCCGCGTCGTCGTCGTTGGTTGTGTGCGTGTGACGCAGTGTACGTGTGTGCGTGTATGTTACGCAGCTGCGCGCACGATCTCTCTCTCTGCATGTTTTGTATGGTGTACGTGTGAGACACGACTTTTACGCGCGACTCTGCCGAGAGTGGGGAAAGAAAGAGAGAGAGAGAGAGAGAGAGAAGCAGCTCTCTCTCTCTATATACACAGCAGTAGCAGCAGAGTGAAAAATGGCGTCGTCGGCCAAGTTCCTCGAGGAGGCTCTGAGCACCGACGTGGACGAGTCCGCCGTGTCGGCGTTGGTCGGCTCGCTCGAGACCCAGCTGAGCCAGAGCGGCGCCGCGCCCTGCGACCCGGTCGAGAAGGACGAGGCTTCTGCAGCGAGTCCCCGAACGGCTGCCGCCAATTTATTAACTGCTGACGCCGCCGCGACCGCTGCTGCTGCTGTTGTTAACGCGCCGCCTGCCTCTGCTACCACTACTACTACTACTACTACTACTACTACTACTACTACTACTACTACTGATGCTGCTGCGGCTACTGCTGCTGCTACAAATGCGACCGTCGTGACTGCTGATACTACTGCTGTTGCTGCTGCTGCCGCTGTCGTTGTCGCTGCTGCTGCTGCTACTGCTACTAATACAGACACAGACACAGCAGCAGCATCATCGTTCCCATGCTTCAGTTCAAGTTCGATTGGCCCCGACGCTGCAGCAGCAGTTGCGTCCAACGCACCGGTTAACACGCCGCCGACGCCGCAGCCGCCGACCAGTGACGCCGACGATCAATCGCCGCCGCCTGCTACCGCATCATCATCCACTGCTGACGCTAGTTCACCTGCAGCAGTAGCGGCTGCTGCTGCTACGACTACCGCTGCCGTCGAATCATCCACGTCCCCTGCCGAGGTGGTGCCCGAAGAAGGCCCCGTGACGACGACGACGACGGTCGATCAATCAGCAGCTACTACGACGACCACGACGACGTCTAGGACGCCGTCGCCACCGACAGAGCAAGCAGTACCGGTACCGGCCACGACGAGCAGTTCGACTTCTCCGCAAACGACGAGCACGCAGCCGCAGTCGCCAGTCGCGGTTGACGCACAGACAGCCGCTCCTGTTGTTGCTACTACTGCTACGGCAGTCACTACCAGCAGCACCACCACCCAAGACTCAACCAACATGACTGCTGCACAAGAGCTGGCCAAGCACACTGTCGTCACTTCTGCTGCCATGCAGCAACAACAACACACAGCAAACAACGTGGTGCCGAGCAGCAGTCCTACGCCGACTTCGAGCCCGCCAGTAGCCGTGAACACATCCTCTGATGCAGACAATCAAATCACAGATACCATCAATCGTGTTGCTAGTGGTGCTGTTCCAATAATCCCAGTGATCAGTCAGACAGTGCCTCCAGTGACTCAGGTCATTTCCAATGTCAACCAACTTGACACTGGATCCGGACAAATTACCCAAAATCTTGCTCAAACTACTGCCTCTATCAATCAGCTTTCAGCCACGATCGATCAGGTTGCATCTGGTATCACGCAGGTCTCTACAGTAGGCAATCAAATTTCTACGCAGGTTCCTACTGTTGTGAATCAAATTTCCTCTCAGCCTCCTATAACCCTTCATCAAATTTCCACGCAGCCTACTAATTTAAATCAAATTCCCATAAAAACTTCAACTATTCCTCATCAAATTACCTCGCAGGCTCCAACCCTCCAACGCTCAATAGTTACCGACCCTTCAAAAGCCCCTCAAATAGCCAAGGGGATCATACGATTGCCTGCACCTGGTATTCAAGAATCTAGTACTGTTAATCCAATCATAACCAAACTGAATCAAGGCCCTGCGGGCTCTGCACAAGCTTCGATTCCTGTAAGTCAAGTTTCTTCTACTATTAATCCAGTCACAGCAACTATCAATCAGGTGGCTTCCGGAATCACTCAAGCCTCTTCATCTGTAAACACAATTAATCCAGTCACTGCAACTATTAATCAGGTTGCAGCTGGACTAACAGAAATCTCGGCTCCTGTTAATCAAGTTTCAACCACAAACAGTCAAGTTTCCTCTGGTATTACCCCAGCCATGGTGTCAAGCAATCAACTTACTGCTACAATAAATCAAGTAGCTAGTGGTTTGGGTCAAATATCTACGCCTGTCAGTCACGCTGCTACTTCTATGAATCAAGTTTCTGCTACAATTAATCAGGTTGCAACAGGTTCTACGCCAGTCTCTGTCTCTGGAGTCACCGCAGCAACTCAACTGGCCAATCTTGCAAAGGTACAATCTGGTGAAAATGTGAAACTTGTATATACTGGTACTGGTCAGATCCTGACAACAGCTAACATGGTTACTGGACCTAATGGAAAAATTGCCTTTCCGGCTGCCCAGCTTGCAAATGGGACCATTGCCGTTGCTGGAGGACAACCTGTGCTACAAGCCACATCTAACACAGTGAGCAATACTACTGGAACAATTCGCAGCACAACTAATCAGTCAGTTAAGCAGACTGCTTTGGTTATTAAGGGTAATATGGCACCCACTGGCATGGTAACTCTACCGTTAAGTGCCCTGCCAGTGAGTGCTACTGGCACAGCCTCTGCTAATACGGTTACACATGTTGCTAACACTGCTACACAGCCACAGACTGGTAAACAGACTGTGGTGTCTAATCCTGCTGCTGCGTCTCAAACCCAAGCTGCAGCATCCACGGTTATGCCCAGTAATGTACAGATACTCAATGTAAATACTATGCGACCAGCCACTACTGTGGCTAGTCAACAAGGTGGTAAACAGGTCAATACTGCACGGGTTGTAATAGGACAGCACATGATGCAAGGCAGAGCGGGAGCATCGGGGGTATGTTTATTCAAACTGTGTGCCCTCTAACGCTTTTCATTTATTTGCCAATCACTTAGTAGATGCATTATTTTATTATTTTTCTTTACATCAATCTTCTTTTCATTTATTTACCAATCAATTAGTAGATGCATTACTTTATTATTTTTCTTTTCATCAATCTGAAGTTTTAATCTGATACTGTAGACTTAATTAATGATTCTTACAAATTTAAAATTTCAGAATATTAATTCAAGCATTAGAATTTATTTTTGTGCACTGGCGCATAGTTGGAAATTTTTTTTTATGTAATACTTGTGTTTATTTCAACTAACTTTTATTTTACATTGTTTTGCTACATTCATTTTTACTAGCTTTCAAATTTATTGCTTCCACATGCTACAAATAATTTTGTAAAAAATTACATTTTTTGCTCTCATTTGCAATATAATTTACGCTGATGCTTGGTGGTTATGGATATAAAACTGTTAGTTGAAGATGAAGTAATTTAAGTTAATGTGATAACTTATTACTTCTTTTTAACAATTCATAAAAATAAAAACTTCATAGAGTGCGATTTTGTTTGGTGATAAAATTGTTTTAAATTATAAATTGAAACATAAAAACTTTACATTCATATGTACTAATAATAAGCTGAAGAATTCATTCGACATCATTTTTTTATATTCATTGGGGCTCAACTAAAAGTTTCTAAAGTTCAGTCAAACCCAGTTTTAACTTCTGTTATACTTTCATTTATTCAAAAATTCATAAAAAAGGTTTTCAGAACCACATTATAATCCAAAAATTGTTCTTGAATATTCATTTGATTCTCATGAACCTGTTAACCTTTTAAAAAATCAAATTTTCATTCTTCTAAACACTTGTTTTATTGCAAAACTATCATCAAAATATTAACCTTACAAATAAGAGGGAATATTGTATAAAGATGTCAAAATATTAATTTTTTTTTCATACAAATTGGTTGAAATTACCTGCAGATTTGAATCGTCATGGAAGTTTTTATTTTTTAGAACCACAACGTCTGCTGATATAGATACTTAACTATTACATATTATACCTTACTGAAACCACATTTTTATTAAAAGTTATGCAATTTTCAAGTTCTGAACTATTTATTAAGTACAAAGAATGATTACAATTGCTTGGTAGTAATTATCTGAACTAAGTTTGTTACTGAATAAATTTTTAAAAACCATATAATAAGAAAGTAAAGTGTTTAGTCAGAAATTGAATATTCTTACTTTTTCTTTCATAAATTCATAAATTGATTTTTCATATCATGAAATATTTTTCATACCAGAAGTGACTACTTACCTGCCACTGCATAAAGCGGGAAGAAAAGGGCACTGGGTATGAAAAATAACATGCAGGCATAAGCCACAAAAAAAGAGAGCCCCAAAGCATGTATTTATGTAATTAATTAATTTGCTCAGATAATTGCATGTATATTGGGACTCTTCTTTTTTTTCTTGGCTTAGAGCAGTTATATACTGTTGATTAGTTTTGTGTTTTGTGGTATTTAGTTTGGTATAATAATCCCAGATCAGGTTTTTTAATGTAAGTAACTTTTGTTTTCTACATAGAATAATGAAACATAATGACGTTAATAAGTAATTTTTTTTTATTGACGAGTGAAATTTAGATTTATTTCTTTTGTAATTTATTTATAAGTTATTTTTGTAATGATGTAAATTGTAAGAAATTTTTGAAATCTTGAGCTAAGGTTTCCAAATAAATTCTTAGTTTCTTGTTAGCAAAATGTACTTATTAATTAGTTTTTGTTTCAATTTCTATGTACAAATTTTTTACAATCTCTTGAACATTTTTAATTAATTTGTTTACTTATTTTTTAGATAACTCTTCAGGCTTTGCAGAGTTTACAAGTTGCATCCGCTGGAGGTCATTTATGGTTGAAGACAGAAAATGGTCAACTACAATTGTTAAGGGTTGGTCCAGCACCATCTGCAAATGCTCCAGCAGGAACTGTGCCCCCTACAAGTTTAGCAGGTCAAACTGTTGTAGGAACTCCAGGACCAACAGGCACAACATACCGTCTGGCAACTTTGCCTGCTGTAAGTAGGCTGAATACACAGTTTACTGGTCCAGCTCTAACCACAATGAAAAGGCCTATACAGGTGATACACTCTATTACCTTGTTTAAGACTCAAAAAATAGCCTTCAAGTAGCAAATTTGTCTGTGCATCTTAGCATTTGCTGAGTTTCTGTTACAAGTAGTTAGTATTTTGCAAACAGATACCATAGCTAAATCGAAAATGATTTGTAGTACTAATCTTGAAAAAAAAAATTTAGAAATTTTTCATTTTTTTTTAGTTTTGGAATCTCTTGAGGAATCATTTCTATTTTAACCACCAACAAATATTAAAAAAAATTGTTTTGACTTTATATGTGCACTTAAGTAGAATCATTTATTGTGAATTGTATTCTTTTAAATTATGATATTTCTAGTATAGTTTTTTCATTAAATTTTATGAAAATTTTTATTTTCTTCTGTGTATTTTGAGTAGAAATTTCATTAGATTTCATAGAAAGTCGTAGAAATGCTTGCTATTTTGATGAATCAATATTTTATGGTAGTAAACTCAATGTTGTATAGCTTTGAAAATAATGTTTTATATTATATTACTAGTATATTTTATATTCATAAAATTAATGATTCACAATATTATAAAAGCCATAACACAAAAGGAAAAACATCAAGTCATCTAAATTAAAAAAATTATACATTTTAGAAGTTACTAAAACTCTGTACTTGAAATTTTCATTAGCTAAAATTGCTTTTAACTCCACAAACTATGAGTCTTATTAAGGTATAAGTGTCATCATTTTTGTTTTAGATAAAGGATAATATACATTATAATGTATATATAGAAAAACATTAATATTCATAAAGTGTTCATAAAGTATTCATATATCGTAATTTAATTCAAAGTTTGCTCTGATTTTGAATTTTCAAGTGAAATGGCTTTTTGCAGCAATGAAAAAATTTTAATCCAAAAAGTTCTTGAATATTTTTGACTTTCATTTCAATAATAAATTATAAATTTATATTTTTGTTTTACATGATTAGACTGTTGCACCCACTGTTACAACAACAACAACTGTGACAACCCCTGCAACCACTGCTGTAGCAACTGTTACAACAACAGCACCAGCACCAGTGACCAATTCAGAAAGTGTGCAAACACAGGTATATTATATTGATATTTATTAAATTTCATTTTTTTCTGGTCTTCAATTGTGGTCGTCAATTTTCATTATCATTACAGCGTAATTCATCAGATAATACCAAAGAAAAGTGCCGAAAATTTTTAGCAAATTTGTTAGAGCTGTCTAGTCGAGAGCCAAGACAGGTTGAACGAAGTGTTCGTACTCTGATACAAGAATTGATTGATACAAGAGTAGAGCCAGAAGAGTTTTGCGATAGGCTTGAAAGGCTTTTGAACGCTTCTCCTCAACCATGTTTGATAGGGTTTTTGAAAAAGAGTCTACCGCTATTACGGCAATCTCTTGTTACCAAGGAGTTGGTAATCGAAGGAATAAGACCACCACCAGCAAATGTTGTTTTTTCCATAGCTTCAGCTACACCTACTGTAGTACAGGTACACTTAAATTCTCCAATTTACTTACCATGTCTAGAATCTTGTTTTAAAAATAATTTTACTTAGAATTTTATAAGTTTGCATGATTGTTGAAATACTAAATTTATATCTTTAAATAATAGCAAAACCAAAGGCCAACTGTTGCGGTTGCACCGGCTTCTACAGCAGGCGCACCTGCGCCTACACAAGTCATTTCATCTGCAGCGGCAATTCCGTCTCCAATGGTTCCAGGACAAATACGTCTACAAGCTCCTCTCACAGGAATCACAAATTCTCCTCGGCCTCCTCAACCAATAATTCAGCAGAGAGCGGTAAGAAATATTTTTGATTTATTTCGAACTGATTTTTTACAATACAGAAGAAAATTTTAATTTTAAAAATATTCTCAAATTACTTCAAGATTTTTTTTTCATACCAGAAAAATTTAATTTTAAGAAACTTATAATCATTCGTTAGTTTTTAAGCAATTTATTATTTTTATTTTTAAGAATGCGAAAAAACCAGCACCATCTATCATTACAAAAAAAGTAAATATCTCAAACATCTTTATCTCATTGTTTGCTTTGCATGACAAATTTTCATTTGCTTAATGCAAAATTGAATTAGGAAAATTTGAAAAAATTTAGAATTCAAATTTTTCATAATCATAAATATAAATCTGGTTAGTGGGAGATCAGAGCTTGTTGTTCATGATTTAAGGGGATGCTAAAAATGAAAGCAATGAAATTTTATGATAATCATCTGAATTTTCAAGTTTCTTGGCTCATTTTAAAACTTTCCCAAAAATTTCTCAAGAAAGCATTTAAATATATTCAATTTTATTATAGATTTTCCATCCCTTTAAATGCTCATTCTCATATTCAATAATGAAAATTGCATTTATAAATTACCTAGATAAAAATAGTCCTGGTCTAGTTGTCAAGGATACTTAATCCAACAAATTAAATGTATCATATCTTTCAAGTAATCAATTAGCTTAATGCTTTTTTGTAACTCTCAATCACATGCGTAAATTATACTATAAAAGTATTATGAAAATTGCCATAATTTATGTTGTTAATGTAAATATTCCATATTTAACGTTTACTATCAACTTTTCTTACTAAATTTTCATTTAACTAACAAACTGTTGATTTAAATGTAATAATTATTATTTTTTAGTACTCAATGTTTGTGTGTACTTTAAACTTTTTATTTTACATCAATTCATTAACGGGAATGATATTTTAAAATCTTAAGTGTATGAATGTTACTTTTTAAAATTGTTACTTAGATAAATCAAGTATTACTTGAATGTTTCTACCATCTAAAGAAATCACTAATTAAATTAAAGTAATAAAATTAAAGTTTGTTCGGGAATGTAAAAGAATAGTGTAATTTTTTTAAGGATGAATTTTAAAATTTATTTTACTTTTAAAGGTACGACCTGCGACAACTGTGGTTCGTCCACCAACGCAATTTCAAGTAAAAACTTCAACGGTTCCTGCTGCTCCACAACAGCCACCGATTATTAGACCACCACCTCCAGTAATAATTCAAAAAAATTTACCAAGCACAGCTGCTGTTAAAACTGCCCAAGCTGGTCAAGTTGCTACAACTAAGGTTACTGCTATCACCACAACTGTGTCCAATCAAGTTAGCAAAGCCAATGTGCCTTCTCCGCAAATTAAGCAAGCGGTCATTAAAGAAAAAGAAAAAAAGAACTTTTCGTCAGCAGCATTCACGTAATTTACTTTTTTTAATTTTTCAATATAGCTTTTACATTTGACAGTAATCATTTTTCAACAAAATACTGATGTTAATTTATAGTGGTGACGATGATATTAATGATGTAGCAGCTATGGGAGGTGTCAATATACTCGAAGAAAATCAACAAATTCTAGGCACGTCTAAGTTAGTTGGAACTCAAATTAGATCTACTAAAGATGAGGCATTAATGCAACTGAGTTATCTTCAGCAAAGAATTAATACCATAGGTAAATTTGAAAACATATAACTTACTATATAGCATGACATAAAGACATATGATACATTTTTCGAATTATTTATAGTGAGTCAGCATGGACTAGAAGAACCTAATCAGGAAGTTGCTACATTAATTTCACACGCTGCTCAAGAAAGACTTAAAAACTTGATTGAGAAATTGGCAATCATTGCCGAACACAGAATAGATCTTAATAAAGTAAAATATAAAAAAATATCTTTTTACAATATTTTTAATAAAATTATTGGTATACGTATACTGATTACATACTCTATTTACAGGCTGATCCTAGGTATGAAGTAACACAAGATGTAAGAGCTCAATTAAAATTTTTAGAAGAATTAGATAAAGTAGAAAGAAAAAGACACGATGAGGCAGAAAGAGAAACACTTTTGAAGGCTGCCAAATGCCGAACAAAACCAGAAGATCCCGAGCAGGCTAAACTCAAAGCAAAAGCGAAAGAGGTACGTTTCTCGATTTTGAAAATTGTTCTTCCTAAAAACATGCAATTATAATGAATGTTAAATATTCAATACTTTCTTCTACAGTTACAACGAGTGGAAATGGAAGAAGCACGACAACGCGACGCTAATTTGACAGCTCTGCAAGCTATTGGTCCCAGGAAAAAGCCTAGACTAGATCTTAGTGGAGCTAGCACTACCACCGGGCCAACTGGTAATAGCAACGTTGCAGGAACAAATACTGGTCTCAACAGAACATTATCAATGCGACCTAGACTGAAACGTGTTAATTTTCGTGATTTGCTTTTCTTACTTGAACAAGAAAAGGAAACGTGTAGAAGTACAAATTTATATAAAGCTTATTTAAAGTGATGGACACCTTATGTGCAATAGGACGTGCTTCCTCAATCTATCTGTCTGTAAATTACAGTCTATTTACTCAGATTGAGAGTGGATTAAAATCTAGGATAAATTTTCAAAGAAAACATTTCTTTTTTGTGTTTCCATATGAATCACCATTTATTTACTCAGTTATCTGTTACATGATTAACAGTGAACACGAATGGCGAATTTTCTGTAAAAATCAATGTGTATATTGTCAAAAACTTCAATTTCTTATTGAAGTTCCGGTTTTAGATATTTTTAAGCTGGAAGTGAAAATAATTATATTATAAGAAAAGCCTTGAAGGTATATCAGCCCAATTTACTGATAATTGGTGTGAGCTGTAGTTCAGATCCTCTATTTATAATTGCATAAATTGTACAGCATGTTTGTAATCATTTTTTTTCTTCATTCATCATTTACAGTGAACATAAATGTGTTAGGTTGCGTCAATATCTTTATTAATTAATAATAAATTATGTGCTAAATTTAATTGTCGAGGTAGAAGTTGAATATTGTTTTCGTAATTTATGTAGTTTTTTCAGATTTTCTACAAACCATCTTTGTAACGTTTCAACCTATATAGACATCTTTAAGAAAATTGGAAAATTTTCTCCAAGTAAGATATGTCAACTTGGAGCTAGTGTAATTTTACACCTTCATGTACGGTTAAATTTTGATGGTTTGTAGAACTTTTTTGAATGATAAAAAAACATACCACTCGTGTAATCGATTATTGGTGCCGATAAAATTTATGCTATTGTTTGAATATATATTTAAATTACAAAAACGGCGACCGAAAAAATGTCTATGAATGTGCCTGAATATTCGTGTGAACGATCTTGACGAATTAATAATTGGTTACATGATTGCAAGATAACTACAAAATGAGAAACTTATCTTGGTTACTGTTAATTCTTGATTATTAATTAGCCTCAATTTACGAGAACATTTTGCGCCTATATAAAAGCAATTTTTTATATAATTAGTGCTGCAAGAACTTTAAGCTGCAATCTTTCTATGAAATTATCATTGAAAACTTGATAGGTCGTAGATCAATTGATTTCTGATCTGAATTTATACATCACTAATTGAGCATGTTTTATGAAATGAATATGCTTCAAGAAAACTAAAATTTTGTCTTAAAAACTCATTTTATGTTTGTTTTGTATCCATAAGGGTATCATGAAAGCGATTAAAAAATGCACAATGCATGAGGTACATCTTCATAAATATCGATAAAATGTACATAAATCTATATGAATATCGATGGACCGAAAAAATGTGTCTTTTAAAAGTTGTTGTTCCAAAAAGAATAATTTTTGGTTCAATTCACCAAAATTGTGGGTGTACATAGTTAAGGCTGTGCTTCTGCGGAGATGTAATACTGATGTATAATAAAAAATTGGCGAAACCACTGTAAAGGTTGTATTTAAAGCTAAATTTTTTACAACTAAATAGTTTTTTTACAGTTGTTTCAATTTTCAACTTTTAATCGATAAATAATATATGATTCTATGTGTGAGTTACCCCTTTCCCAGAAGCTGTAAATATATATTTAATCCTGCATTGCTCTCGAGTTATGCCTCGTAAAATTGTGTTTTTGTTATTGATTTTGTAAGTGTATTTACGATGATTAGAATAAAATTTATTAAAAAGATCAAACAATATTTTATTGGAGTAGAAATTTTGTGAAACATTACTACTTATAAATAAGTTGATAATGCTTCCGATCAAGAAGCAATACTTGAAGATTCTTAGAAAATAAAGTTACTGGCATTACATAGTGACTATATGTTCTCTTAAAATTGGATGTGCGAATGCAAATGAATGTAAAAATTAAAAAAATAACCATTTCTATGTACCTGATTTGGATGATGAAATAGTGATTTTTCGAACGTCATAAATGAGCCGTGGAACAAAGGTATTTATTTTTGCAAAGGTCGAAAAAAGCTGTTGTATTTAGCTTTTAAAATGGTCTTATCATTCATTAGCTCGCGAATGCCATAAGTTAAATTGAAATGGAATAATTTTTACAAATTCAAAAAAAAATATTCAATTGAATTAGTGGGAAATCATTTTCAACCACCGCAGAGAAATATTTCATTTGTGTTAATTTTACCTCTGTATGATACCATTGAAATCACCAAATGTAAAATATTTAAATGATTCGTTAACAATTACGATTAGTTCTTCAAACATTTATTTATTTACAGTAATCAATCCACATTAAAAACTCGATGCCTTTATGGTCCTTGTAAAATATTGTACAGAAATAGAATTTTTATATGTACTAAATAAAAGTAGGTAATTCAAGATTGCTTAAAAATAAAATCATATTATTACATTTACATTCGTGTGCTTATTATTTCTAGTTTTAACATTTTCAAAACGATTTTCAAACACCGATCTTAGACTAATATTTTTTCATTTTATTAAAAATTCATTCGATTATAAAATCGAAAGTAATATAGAAAATAATGTAATTAGGGAATTTTTTATTTACAAATTGAATTGGAAAAATAAAGTGTTCCCGGAATAATTATTATTACCTAGAACCGTTTGAACACCGAGAACTGTTTTTCAGATGATTTTCAGGAAAAAGTTATTCGTTTTGATTCGTCTTCGAGAGCTACAAAGGCCAAGGATCAAATGTCAAAAAAAAATTGGTCGTAAGTGCCGCCGCAGCGACAGTGCCTTACGAGGTTATTTGTTCCATCCTTGTCTAGGGGAGTGCTAAACTTCTCTCCTTTCATACAACACGAGGAGTAGGGGCGGTCTTGGGCTATATATACGTAGCTTTGGAATTATTTCGCCGCTTGCGGGTGCTGCGTCGAATCGATTTTTCGACAATCGAGCGGCGATCGAATGGAGTTGCATTCGTCTCAATGAATTGGAACAACGTTAAATTTTCTATTTTACCAAAATGCACGTGCGATATTTTTCGAAAAGATCGATAATTTTAGCGTCGAAGGCATTTCACGGCGCAAAAGCTGGTGATGCGACGCGTAGCGGTTGAAGAGCCAACTACATTACGCGCAGCCTCGAGTCGCGCCGTTCTCGAATTTCGAATCTTGCTCTCCGCGATGGCGCGCGAATACAAGAATCACGCCTTGGGCGAGCGTCAATTTTGAACGAAAAATTTCACAGTACGAGTACGAATTTCTTACGATGACTTTGTAACCAGTTTACACGAGATCAATTTTAAAAATGATCAAGTTTTAATTTCTTCACAATTAGGGTAACCGTACCAATGAATGACCGAGTTGTTGTTTTTCAAGTTTTGAAGAACTGCAAAAATTCAATGATTGCCACTAAATAACAACTAAATATATCATCGCATAGTTAATTAAGTGTTCAATCAATTAAAAATATTGAAATATCATTTTAGCATCGTGAATATTATTAAAAATTGTGATTGAACATGTCACCTCAAAAACGCCAGTTAATGACCACTTGCAGAAAATATCTCCATTGAATGACCGGTCGACGTTCAGTAAATGACCGATACAATATCGTACGACGTTTTTACAAAATTAAACATTACCGTTCGTTTAGATAATCGATACTATTCGTAAATAATTGTTACTAATTCAGTAGTGGTCGAATTAGTACTGATTGAATTGGTTTTATTTAAAAATCAATACAAATTGATTAATAATAAACTTAACTATTGTATTCTCAAAGAATCGGTCATTTGATGGTCGTATGCAATTCGACGCTTCGTATCAGTGAATGACCACAAAAAATTTTCAATATTTTTTTATGCGAAGTTAATAAAACTTATATGGTTTGAAAGTTGATTAAAATTATAGGTATAACATTGTTTCGTGTTGGAAAACTATTATAAATTAGATTAACATTCGTACATTCAATTTATAAGTGATAATTGATCATGTGGTCATTCACTGGTACCCGGACATTGATTGGTCCGACTACCCTATCTCTGTAAATTAAAACTGAAGCGAGATCGAAAGACATAAAAGTAAAGTCCGAATTGGTGCTATGATTCAAATCTGTTTTTTTTTTATATTTATTCGTACGAATAATACGAGGGCTCTGCACAATATATACAATTATATACATTACAATTGCGACAATTATCTATCGTTATTCGGCAAACTCTGAGCCACGACGATACCATAAAAATCTTCGTTCGACAGATTCTCGATGATGCGTTCGCACAACTCGACCGGCAGCCTCTGGTGCATCAGATACCAGAAAGGATAGAGCGCCCAACGCCTGAAGAACGGCCTCGACGCCTTCTCGCACAGATGCCGCACGCAAGCCTCGGCGTGCCCGTCGGGGACTGCCCAGCGTCTCCAGGATTCCGCCAGCTCGCGGTAGTGGCCCAACTCGAGTCGACCCGCCGCCTCGTTGGCCGACAAGCGAATCAAGTCGTCGAGCGACAGGTTCCTCGTGATCGGGCAAGCCCGCGCCACGGCCACGAAGTCCTCGTCGTTGTACCAATCCCTCGCTCCTTCCACCCTCGATCTCTCGATCATGCCGTGGTTGCAGAAAAAGTCCATGACGATCTGGGCCTGCTGGAAGTCGTAGCCGGCTATCTGGAGACGCTCGATGCAGGCCAAGGCGCCGCCGGCCAGTCTGAGCCTCCAGGCGTGCGTCAGCGTGGTACGGCGCGCGAATCTCTCCGCGGGGAAAACGAAGCTGGTCAGTTGGGCGCCGCGATCCAAGAGCACGTCGACGGCGTCCGGCAAGCAGTTCGACACGGCCCACTCGAGCGGGCTCCGGTCGAAATTGTCCCGAACCTCGAGCTGCACCGGCTGGCGAATCTCGTCGCAGATCGCGAGGAACGTCCTCAGGTTCTCGCTGTAGTGGTCTCTCGCGCACAGCACGTGCAGCGCCGTCCAGCCCCAGCCGCGATTGGCCAGGTTCGGGTCGGCGCCCCGGCGCAGCAGGAACTCGGCCGCTTCGTCGGTCGCGTCGGCCAGCAGAGCCAAGTGCAGCGCGCTGTTGCCCTCACCGTCCAGGTCGTTGATGCGCGCGAAGCGCAGATCCTCGTACGCCTCGAAGAGACACGCCGGGAACTCCGAGTCTACACTGCCGTGACTGCTCCGCTGTTCGCTCTTGCGCTGGAGCACGGCCAGAGTCGGCCTGATCTCGAAGAACACTCGCATCAGGCCGAGACGATCGGAGCCGAAAAATCTGTCACGCGAGCGAGCGATCAGGTGCAGAGGCGTCGATCCTTGCGCGTCGCTCAGATTTGGATTCGCGCCGTGGCGCAGCAACAGCTCGAGCACCTGCCGGCAGCCGCGCCTCAAAGCCAGGTACAGCGCGGGATCGCCCGTCCTCGGCAGCCGGCAGTCGGGATCCACCCGGCCGGCCACGAGGAATTTCTCGACGACTTTTTCGCATCCGAATTCGCAGGCCACGTGGAAATGCGTGCGGTCGGACTCGACGTCCACGTAATTCGCCTCGAACCTGTCGTAGATTCGAAAAAGTTTGGAAGCCACGTCGTCCCACTGGCTGCGTTGGCGTCCGGCCAGATGATGCAGCGGTGTGGTGCGAAGCAAAATTGGCGCGCCGTCTCGATCTAGCGCGGGTTCGTCCCTGTAGCCGGCGCTGATCGCGAAATCGACGATGGGGGTCGATCGTAATCCGTCGTCTTGTATCGTGGAGTTTCTCAAATCCTCCGAGAGCAGCCAATCGATTTCTTCCCGTTCGAAGACGTCCCGGAGTTTGGGCAACGATCCCTGCCAGGCTCCGATCAAGATACCAAATTTCTCGAAAAGTTTATTTCGCTCGTCCTCGATCTCCCAATTATTGACGAGCTCTCGACGCAGACTCCTCATCTCCTTCATCTCTGATCCGTGAAAGAGGTCGACGCACCGGGACACTATTTTGCGACTCATTTTTTCTTATTTCGTCGCTTTGTAATCACTCGCTGCGGTCGACGAAAATATTCATCGGATGCTGCGACGTCGTAACGGGTATGGTATTGCTCACTCGAGCGCCGATAGTAAACAAGATTTTTCGCTCGACTACACGAGATACTCTAGTTACTTGAATTTTAATGTTGTATAGTGGTCTTCGCTAATAAATACTAAAATTCAAACCAAAATGTACTGAGATATAGATATATGGTTGATTCTTCAAAAAATCGCTCGAGTTTGTTATTGTTCGGTTGAAAAGTCATTTCAAAATTTAACGTTTTATGGTAACAAACTTTTACATAACCAAATGGAACAATACAATTGCGAATTGTGATACACACACACACACACACACACACACACACACACACACACACACACACACACACGGACGCCAGGAGTGAAGCCACTAATGATGAGCGTGCCAAGACGCTGGCGAAGTGGCAGACCCAGTGGTCTACCACAACGAAAGGTCGGTGGACTCACCGGCTTATACCGAGCATCGCCGCGTGAATCGAAAGGAGGCATGGAGAAGTGAACTACCACACAACTCCTGCCCGGCCGCGGCTGCTTTAGGTCCTACCTATGTCGTACAAAGAACGACACAAGCAGCTCGTGTCCGACCTGCCATCCGGCAGTGGAGGACTTCGAACATGTCATCTTCCACTGCCCTCGATTCACGGTGGAAAGAGAAGAGCTTTATCGCCTAGCAAACGGACCATTGGAGCCCGAGACGTTTGTTGGATTCATGCTCGAAAACGAGCGAAACTGGGAAGCAACGTCCACCTTCGATAGCTCAGCCCTGCTGAAAGTCTTCACACGAGAAATCACATGAGAAATCACATGAAAAATCATATGAAAAATCACATGAGAAATCACATGAGAAATCACGCCAAAATATCACATGATATTTCCGTTTGTGAACTTTTTAAAAATGATTCATCAACTAATATTGTCATCGAATGTACTAAGTCTCGATATTATATACATATAAAGCTCAATGATTTTTTTGCAAGAAACCATCTAATATTGCCTGGAATGTAATTTTATTTCTTTCGATGAACTTTTTTTCACAATGAAATAAAACGTGGAAATTTGTATAAAATGAAATTTTATTTACAGTCGTTTTTACAATGAAAAATACAGTTCATGTTTTAATTTATTAAGTAATCAGTAATGCATAAGAGTAGGAACTGGACATATATATTTTTTATTATTTACGTTCATATATACACACATATTTTTGCTATCGTTTCCGTATCGATTATTATTTGTTTTTCTGTAATTTCTTTTACAATTCTCATTTTTTTGTAGTTGTTACAACGAGGCAATGCTAAACAGTTAATCGTACAAATTTCACGACAAATAGTTAGTTCTTTTTTATTTATAGTATCTACTACAAATTGATCAATTACTATATACGAACCATCCATGAGCATGGCAGAAGAATTATTAGATCGCCGTTTCATTAACGAATTCGATTCAAATAAACATTTATCCTTAATCATTCTTTTAAATACTAATGAACTATCAGATAAATTTAGCATTTTTTTATTCGTTTATCGAGGTAAGTTTTTTTTCCTAAGTATAATTTACTAGATGTCCTGTGAAAATGTTCAACTTTTGCTGCAAGTACATTTTCACAGTAGTTCAAGACTTCATCATTAGTCTTGTGAGAAACCATTCGTTCTAAAATAATAATACTATGGTTAAGACAGACATATCTTACGATTTGATGATTGGCTCCTCGCGCACATTTTATCGCTTGTAATGTATATTTATTTGCCGACTCAAAGCAAAACGTTGAGTTAGCCCATACCGGACCCCAGTTTAATACACTTCGAGCCATATGCAATAAAAGATGAACATTATATGTCATTGCTGTTTCTCCATGATGTCTTGTCATATCAGCTACAAATTGATAGAACAATTCATTAGCTTTATTCAATTCGCTGATTGAAATTTTGTCTTGCAATATTATGTAGAGACCTTCGACGAATAAAAGCCAATGTTCATATTTGTCATCATACAATATTTGGAATAAAAGACAGATACTATAATACAAGACGAAATTTTCCCACTCTCGGGCACTCCATTTGTTACGATCACTAATTCGTCTACTTAGTCTATGAATTTGTTTCGGTGCAGTGATGGAAAGAATTTTATCGTCCAGTGATTTTATTACATCGTCACTTAAATTGTTCGTGTAATACTCCATTAATTGAGCAGCTACTCCTTTTAAACAACAATGTAAATAACCAGGGATGAATCCATCGACAATATCAAAATATTCTAAACATATAAACGGAGAAGAATATTTGACACCAAATTTAATTTTTTCTGCCTTCACTGAGTTTAGCATTAACTCCACGGTATCTTTGTGGATACGCAGAGGATGAATAGTGTCTGTTAGTGAGTATAACATAGCTCCCTTTTTATTACCTGGGCAGTCATGACAAGACTGAGAAGCGAGGATAAGGCAAGAAGGAGATGACCGGACGAAGCGTTACGAAGAAGACACAATCCAGAAGACAAGCTAAACCATAAATGAGCTCCCCAGGAGCTACAGCCTTCTCCGCGAAGCAATGCCTATAAATGGTGGTCCCACGGTGAATAACAAAAGCAAACGAAGAGGATGGGTTTTAGTCGATATTAGTAGAGAGGCACACTATCCGCCCACACAACACTTGTACACACCAACACTAGTAGTACACTATTCGAGTCCGACATATCCATGCGACAAATACCTTTGTCGCATGTTGAATCCGTAAATAGGATTTCCCTCCTCCCCCCCAAAAAAAAAAAAACACACACACACTACGCAAGGTTCGTGCATAGACTGAAAAACTACTAATGTTATACGAAAACAATAATGCAGACTCTTTGCAATGTATATGCGCAATTTTTATTTGTCGGTATATATAATAAAAACGAAATTTTTGCTGTAAGCGTCATAAACCGCGTTGAACTCTGCAGAGAAGCTTTAAACAGGTTTCGAGGAAAAGGAGCGATAGCCAATAGGAATAAAAGAAATCAACAACATTTTAAATTAGTTTATATAATGAATTATATTTGTAGAAAATCGCGCTTATTCGCACGGTTCACCGACACAGCCGATCTTCGATACATTGCGTTGGTCGTTCTGTTGGCGCGGGAACGCGACAGTCACGATGATGATTGTCATCTGTAGGCTGCCCAAACATGTCTGCCGGTGGCGGCGTCGTCTGCCATTCGGACGCGGATCGGCGGATGCCACCGGCGGACACGTTTGGGTAACCTTTCCACAACGCTGGTGTTACGGTTCGCGATTCGTTGCAACAATGCCCGGTGCGAATGACACTCTGAGTATATCAGAGTTTTACAAGGTCCTGAAAAGTAAGGATCAAATCCTGGTGTCTTCTGGTCGGTAAAAATAAAACTGGAATGAAATCGAAGTACAAAAAATAAGATCTGAATAAATTAATGATTCAAATATTTTCTATTTTATTTATTCATACGAACGATATGAAAATATCGTACACTATACAATGACACCTGACATTAAAATATATATTGCAATATATAAACCATAGTAGCCGCCAAGCGAATGCGATGTGTAAACTGATGTATGTATTGTAGTGAGCCGTGTCGCCGATGGGTGCCACCGAGTAAAAGTGCGGTTCACGCAAGTGAGTTTGTAGAGTCTGGGCGTTAAATAGACCCGAGAAAGGCATGTATCTTCGGAAGCCTCGAGAGAGGCGAAAGAGAGGTGGATAAATCTCGACTAATTATTTCACCTCCCTCCCTTTCACCATCCCCTCCAAGCCGGGACTGCTAGCTTGCTTCGCTATAGTGTCTTAAGTTCCAGCGATCCAAGGTGTCTCTTACCCGGCTCGTTACACGCCTCGAAGATTCTGTTCCATCAGGCGTCGCTGCGACACGTACCTCACTTTTTCGGCGTCCATATGGATTCGCTCGTAATGTTCCGCCGTGCCTTTAATTTCAATTATTTTTTGGCCCTCCTCCTTGGCGGGCCCCTCATACGAATCTCGAATCGCAAGCTTTTCAAGCGAATCGAGCGAGTCGGTAACGATGATATATTTTCGCCCTTTGTGGGCGTTCTTGAGCGCGTACTCGAGAGCGGCTAAGATGGCCCTGGACTCGGCCTCGAAAATGCTGACACTGGGAGCCATGTTCCCGAGCCAGGCCTCTTCGTCGGCGGGACACCACATTGCCCATCCGACCCTGGACGGGAGCTTACTGCCATCGGTGTAAATAGGCACGTACTCGTTCGATCTGATAAAATCTTCCAATATCTCGTTGCGATTGGACGATATCTTCAATATGTGACCGAAGCTCCAGTCGATTCTACTCTCCGTCACTCTAACGGGCCTAATAATCTTAGCCAGAGGGCATTGGCGGCTCCGAGACGAGTGATCAGCGCGGTCGGGACAGCCCACGCACGCAGGAGGATTCTCGCAGATGTCGGCTAGATGGCCGCCTTGCCCGCAATGGTGACAGAGTCTAGAGCGATCGATGGGAGCCTCGCAGCTCCACTTGTGATGTCCGTACTCCCAGCAGCGGACGCACCATGGCCATAAACACTCGACCGCGTTTTTGTTCGAGTCGAGGAGTGACGTGTCAGTATGGAACAACGTCTTCTCCACTCCACTCGTAGACACTACGTCGATGGAACAAGCATGATTCTTCAACCTCTTAAAAGATGTCTTGACGAAAAATGTCACGATGTTTATAAAAAATACCACGACGCTCATGAAAAACGTCACGATCATTAGCGCGACATTGTAAGCCAGTTGGACGACGTTTGGAAGGCCAGTCTCTGCTAGACGGCCGCATTGCGATAATTTCAATGCAATATCGAATGAAAATTTACCCCGAGTACGAGTGAGAAGAGTGAAATTCTGGCAGAACACGAGAGTTTTCTCGTCGACGTCAAATTTACATGCGGCGTGAAAATGTGTGTGGTCGAAAGCGACGTACATTTTAAAACGTAACGCGTTCAACTCTGAGCATTGATCGATCGCTCGATGCACCGCAGGTGTAGCGGTACGCGACAAAGACCGAGCTCCTTCAACTGTATCGCCATCATCAACTGTATGCTGTAAGTTCTTCGGTCGAATTAAACGGTCACCGCGATCGATGACTTTCACCTGTGCTGGTCCGCGATTAGTTCTGAAGCATCTTCTAAAAGCATCTACGCAAACTCGATAGCAGCAGTTGATGCAAGTCCAGACCATTTTGATACACTGACGCAGCTCACACAAAACACACAGATATCGTTATATTTATCACTCTTTTTTTAATAACTCGTTAGAGTCGATGAAAATATTCCTTGGACCTTTACAGTCGTATAGCCAAAAATGAAATCCGTATAGAGAATAAAAACCACGTGGTTCGAAAGCAAGGAGAACTTTTTCAAATTTCTTTTAACTACTTGGTGCACTTGATCGAATTTTTCTCCGATGCTTACACTACGGCGTCGTACGAAATACTAAATTCAAAAAGCACGTGCTCGCTAGTCGCAGTAAAAAAGAAGGTGTTCTAGGCTGTACATGCACTTTACTAGTATAACGCTCCGCCCAGTCCCGTTTCAGTTGTATCGTGATCGAATATGAGGCAATGTGTCCTATAAGAAATCCGCTAGAGGGCAGATGCACGGGAGCTGTGCTCTGCTGTTTTACTATATCTATTGCTGTAGGTGAGGCACCGGGTCGACTCTCGATCTCCTTGCTCGTTGCTCGCTGGATCGCTGCTGAGTCGTCCGCCCGTCTTGCGCTGCTACAGAAACTCCTGGGTCTCGGCTAGGAGGGGATGGTGAATGGGAGGGAGGTGAAATAATTAGATGAGATTCCCTTTTCAAAGAACTCTGTTTATTAAGCCACCTCTCTTTCGCCTCTCTCGAGGCTTCCGAAGATACGAGTCTTTCTCGGGTCTATATAACGCCCAGACTTAACAATCTCACTTGCGTGAACCGCACTTTTACTCCGTGCCACCTAGCGGCGACACGGCTCATTACAATACATACAACACTATATATATTAGGAAGGTATTTCGAAGATCGACAGCGAAATATACCCAAAAAGAAATCGATTTATTAATAATCACGTCGACAATTTTCGACAGTAATACATCAGGAACTTTTTTCTAATCAGTCCTGTCATAAAAAGATCCCAATCGGCGTACAGTTTAATTCCGCGTGAGTATACACTGATCGGCTTGCGTCTTACACGCCGACATCCATTGTCCCGAAGTGCTTCGGCAACCAACGACTTTGGAGCCTCGATACATACGCAAATGTATAAATACATCTATGCGCGTGATGAGGTGTGAGTACTTATTATGAATGCGCTGCGATCGAGCTTTTTCTCGACTTCTGTCGCGTGCGGAACGACGAGATCGACCAAGAGGGCTTTCGCTCGTGCGGTCAAACTCGAGATCGACTAATTTTCGTCTGCATCCTAAAACTATGGACGGTATCAAATGGTTCGCGAGATTTTTATTAGAGGGTCAAGTTTTTCCGAAATTGAAGAAATACAACAGAAAGAACGGAGACAACCAAAGAGTTCTTTTGACGAGTCCGTCGAGCATGACAAAATCGTGGGCCAAGTAAGTACACGAAATCTTGGAATTATTTTTATGAAATCATCGATAACTTTGATAACAACAAACGTGTTTTATTTTAGATTATTGCCTAGAGTACAATACATCACGAATTCACTTATGTCAAAGGGTATCATGTCGAGAGATAAGCTAAAAGAAGAATGGTGCAAAGATCCTACCTGTATGTATTTTCTTTATTTTAGCCTTATAAAACACAGTAACATTTTTTTTAATTATCCGTTCGTTGTTTTCAGTTTTACTCTCTGATTATCAAAAATGGTTACCTGAATCTTGCCACAGCGAAGTTGAAATCATGTGGCCGCCAGTGTAAATCCACTCTTTTAAAAATACTGTAAATATTGTTTTTTTTTGTATTGCATTAAACAATACTAGGTTAACGATTGTAATAATTTGTACAGTTTAATGTTTGCGTGCATTTCGCAATTAAAATATCCATTTTGCAACAAAAAATGCATTATTAAGACTGCGTCGATGTTGTATATTTAAGCATTTTTCGCAATTTTTATGTCATTAATAATTTTAATGTAATTATATATTAATATGGCGCATAATGAGAATTGTGCAATCTAATAAATATATTTTAGCACTAAATAGTTGAATTGTAAATTTCCTTCACCTAGTCATATAAAAAAACGACAGAAAGAAATTAAAAAAAAGTCGAATGAAATTGTGATTGATTGGGACAAATTTTTTGGATTCAGTCTGGAAAGGAGTTGCAGAATGAAGCAAAAAATCAAATAAATTTGTACGACATTCCAGTTTAATGTTCAATATTGTTGATTATTTATCATACATGGCACGTGCACGACAAGAATAAAATTTACAATTAAAACACAGTTTATTACATACACATTTAATAAAACGTAAATATAAATTATTATAAAAATACATCGTACTGGAGGTAAAATTTATAAAAATGTAATCGATTTTTCTCGCTCGAAAATCGGTTCATAATTCGTTATTTTCTTGGTATTGACTCGGAGCTTTTGCACCAAGGACTACGTTATTTTTTTGGAGTTGATTCTTAGCTTCTGCGTCCATCTCTTTTAGCTCCGCGTAAAGTATAACTATTTTCGACGAGTAATTAAAAAAAAAGTTCTCTACGATTTTTATTCTACCCTGAAGGCTGTCTAAAGTTACTGTTTGAAGTATTGAAAACTGTCTAACTCAAATTAAGACTACTTAAATCGTCAACTTTTAAAAGGTTATATCGAGCCAGGACGATATTGGCTAGACAAATAGACTCGATTTCATCTCTATCGAGTCAACAATTTGAGCACATATAAAAAAATCAACTGAATCGGCGAGTAGATGTACTTTACCCCAGCTGTGATCTATAAATAATTTATTTCACATTCTAATGCTTTTTCATCGCTTCAAGAATCAATCCGACAGAATAGTATATTTCTCAATGGGTGCGGTTAGGAAATGGTTTTGGGACATGGTTGTTTAGCAAAACAAGAGATTATTAGAGCCAATCGAAGTTTGTTGAAAAACCATGTCTGCACCAGTTAATGTCAGTTTTGACTTGTAGCTGCCAAGCAAATATTATATAGATCTTGATTCGTTAACTCATGTATGACCATTTCACACATTTCAAGTGGCAGCCGAAAGTGAATTAATTGCCAAAAAGGATAGATCGCCCAACGTCTGAACAATCCTCTCCACATTATCTCGCACAGATGCGCTAGACATGAGTCTGGAACCTCATCGTCGATCCACGGCCCGGACAGGAACTGAAAGTAACCCGTGCATCTGATTTGTTCTTGAGCCTCCTCGGGTCGCAACTGAAGCAGGTCGCTAAGCGACAGACTCGGACCTGTCCGCTTGTACTTTTTCTCGTATATTATGAACTTCTCGTCGTCGCGCCAACATTTTTCACAATCCGCCGACTTGTCGAAGTATCCATGATCGGCAAAATGTTTCATGATGAGCAGAGCTTCGCTTTGGTCAAATTCGTATCCTCTTTTCTCGAGACATTCTACGAGGGCTAAAAGATTGGATACGTGGATGAATCTACTATTGATTGAGTTAACCTTGCCAAAATAATCCGTGGGAAATATGAAGCTAGACAAATCGGCCCCTCGATCCAATAAGATCTCGACCATCTGCGGATAGATGTTCGCCACGGCCCATTGGAGTGCTGTCCGACCGTAATTGTCCTTGGCGTCGATCTGCAGCGTCTGATTCAACTCGTCGTTGATCGTGAAATATGGCCTAGCAAAGTCGGCATCCCTTTGGTATCTCTTGGAAAGTGAGTGCAGTGGAGTCGATCCCTCCGAATCGACCGGATTCGGATCGGCACCCGTTCTCAGCAGCAATTCGACCGCCGTCCCGTTGCCGCAGCGCAGAGCCCGCTGCAATGGTCTGTCACCATAAATATCCTGGGCGTCGACCACGATCGTCCGATTTTGTTTTTTGGCGATCTCGAAAAAATCATGTAATATCTGCAAGTCCTTTTTTATCTTGCATATCAAATGTAAAGGGGTCTCTTTCTTAAAGTTGGTACGATTCACATCTGCACCTTTTTTCAGCAGATATTCAGCCGCCTTCTCGTTGCTGTTCCACAGAGCCAAATGCAATGGTGTATGATGCATCTCGTCCTGAGCATTGAGCTCGATTGTCCAATTTTTTTCTTCGCTGATCTCGAAAAAATCATATAATATCTGTACGTCTACTTCTATCTTGCATAACAGGTGTAGAGGGGTCTTCTTATTATTGTTGGTGCGATTCGGATCTGCACCTCTTCTCAGCAGCAAATTGACCAACTTCCCATGGTAATTGGACAGAGCCAAGTGCAATGGTGTATTACCAAACCTGTCTGGGACGTTGACCTGCACCAGCTGATTTAATTCGTCGCTGACCTCGAATAACATGTCCGCCAAATTATTCTCGTATTTTTTCTGACTGATAATGAGCAGAGGTGTAATGCCGTCCTCGTCGGCTGCATTTGGATCAACGCCGCTTTTCAGCAACGCCTCGGCTTTCTCGTCGCGGCACCAGGCCAGAGCCGCGTTTAACGGCATTCCTCGCGCGGGGTAATTGGGATTCGGCTCGAAATCGAGAAATTTTTCAATGGCGTCTTTGCAGCCGTACTCGCAAGCAATTTGGAAATGCGTTAGGCCAAACTCGTCGACGTAATTCAAGTCGAATCTGTTGTAAACGTTGACAAAAAGGTCACGAACCGTCTCATTTTCGATGAGTAATTTGCGTCTAGCTAAGAGATGTAATGCTGTGGTGCGACGCAGAATAGGCTTTCCATTTTTATCGACGTTGGGCTCGTCTTTGTAGCCGAGCTGAGGCATTAAATCGCCAATCAATGGTACACCAAATCTATTATCCCAGTCTTCTTCACCTTTGTTCGATGATTTAACGAGACGACTCTCAAAAGTCAGAAGTGGTACCCTTTTCATATCTTTAATAACGGGATCGTCGGGTCTCTTGGTTATCGTTTTGCTCACTCACGCACAATAGACAGTCACTTGTTATATGAAATATTTTTTAACTTTTAATCACTTGCTATACAGTAGATGCAATCTTCCTTAGTTGTTCACTCTACGACGTCGTAGCCTGTACTATTTCCTATTCGTACATTGTGTCCGAGCACATGGCCGAAAAAAAAATGAAAGTGGCTCGAGCCACGTACATTTACGAATCGTAAAACCAGCGATGCATTGACTTGCACTTTCTAATTTTCAAACGGCGCAGCATCGATTGTACGAGTCTTTTGACTAATTCAAGTATTGTAAGTACTCGTCGGGCTCCGTCGGTTCGGGGTTTTCGGGATATTCCGGGTAGCGCGAGATTTTCGTTCGAGTAACTCTATACCCGTGCATAATATTTATAGATTTAAAAAAAAACAAAATTTCGAAAAATTCAAACACAAAATTTGTCTTGATACGATGGACATAGACCAAGATAGAAGCAATTGAAAATTGACAAAATTTCGATAAAATTTTTTGTTGCGAAAATTTTGTCGAGTGGTGTATATTTTCATAAAAACTTTATAATTACAAGGGTTCCCGTTTTATCATTCGCTTTGTTACTTGCCCAGCTCAAATTGAATAAAAAACTTTTTAAAATTCTCGAAATTCCACACAATAATATTTTACTGCTATTTTCAGTGTATTTTGATTTTAATAAATTCCTAATGATAATGAGTGTTATAATTAGTTACTCGCTTAAAAATTTTACTCAGATTCCAAGTTATATTCAATTATCTATTATCATTATCTCAAATCATTATTAATTCGCATATCACAGTAACATTTTTTTGATTATCCGTTTGTTGTTTTCAGTTTTACTCTCTAATTATCAAAAATGGTTACCATAATCTTGCCACAGCGAAGTTGAGCTCATGTGGCCGCTTTATTTTCAAGATTGAAGATCTAAAGTTTTGAAAATGTTTTAAATGCTTCTCTTTTGCGTGCACTTCGCAAAAGAGGTGACATGCATTCAGAGTCTGGCTCGGTGTTACTTCCTTGTGGTTGATTTTTAGATTCTTCGAGAAGGGCTTCGTTTTTTTCTCGGAGTTAAGTCTGAACTTCTGTAGCAAGGACTACATTCTTTTCTTGTTGTTGATTCTTAGTTTTTGCGAGAAAGGCTTCGTTATTTTTTTTTATTTGATTCAAGACTTCTGCGACACAGGGTTTTGTGGTTTTTTCTAGGTTGATTCAAAAATCGTACGAGAAAGTCTTTGTTTTTTTCTTGCACTTAAATTAAAAATTCTTTGAGGAGAGTTTTTTGGAGTTGATTCCAAAGTGTTTTTTTTATTTCATCGTTATAAAAGCAAAAACCATAGAACACAATCGTTACAAAATAAAAACAATAATTACTCTATTTGTTTGCTTTCATCTCGATCTCTTATCTGCTCATAAAAGTTTTAATGGGAAAAAAGATTTCAAATTTATATCGAACCCGGCGCAGTCGGTAAGGTCACGCGCGCGACAATTATTATATAGTTCCGATCAGTGATGTCAGAGGACGCCGCATTGCGTAAATGCGTCGTCTGGTTAAATACCACATGGGCACGCCGGATTCTTCTAAACATGTGCTCGAGTCCCTCCGACCAAATGTAACAGTATTGTGGTTGTTTATTTAAAATCGAATCAAAATGGGTAAGAAAAAAGGATTCAATGCCAGGTCGAGGAGCGTCGCCAATATCGAGGTCGACGACTCGACGACGAAAAATGTAAGCTTACTCCGATCGACTTTGTCGCTCGATTTCCAATCGTCAATCGACAACTGTTTACGGATAATGAAACTTCACGCTCGTTTTTTTTTTTTTTGCAGATCAACCTGGACTTGGATCATCGACAAGAGCAATACGATGCGTGCAATGCATTGGTTCTGCCGAGCGAAAAGAGAAAAACAAAGAACAAAGACA